ATTATATACATACATGTTATTAGATAGTTTTGTATTGTGTATATATATGTTGTATTGTATATATTGTATTATATATATATTGCAATATATATATATATATATTGTATTATATGGATTGTATTGTATATAGTGTATACATATAGTGCATTATATTTATTGTATAGTATATATAGTGTATTATATACATTGTACTATATATATATTGTGTAATATATATATATACACCTTGTATTATATATATACATTGTATTATATACATATATTGTAGTGAATATATATTGTATTGCATGTATAGTGTATTATATATGGTATTATATATATATATATTGCATTATATCTATATTGTATTATATGTATATATTGTAATATATTCATTCTATACATTATATATATATATTGGATTAATTTATTACATTATATATATATGTTGTGTTTTATATATGTTTTTTACATCGTATTGACTATATATTGTATTATATATATATACATTGTATTATATATATTGTATTGTATATATATATATTGTATAATATATATAGTGTATTATATCTATATATATTGTATTCTATATATACATATTGTAATACATAAATATATGTATATTGTATTAAACATATCTATACTATTCTATCTACATATGTACTATATATTTATTGTATGTGATATACATATATATATATGTACATGTATTGTATTATATATGTGTTACACATATTGCATTATATATATTGTATTATATATATTGTATTATATATAAATATTGTATTATATATCTATTGTATTAATTTGTATTATATATCTAGTGTATTATATATATATTGTAGATTATATGTATATATATATTGTAGATTATATATATATTGTAGATTATATATATATTGTAGGTTATATATATATTGTAGATTATATATATATATATATTGTAGATTATATATATATTGTAGGTTATATATATATGTATATTTTAGGTTATACATATATATATATATGCATACAAATAGATATAGGTATATGTATATATGATATGTACGATATAATATAGACGTGTATGGGAATGATTAACCAATGAAAATTATGCGTTTAAATGAGGCATACATCTTGGCCCTCATTTGATCCGTGGAAATTGGGGCAGTGCATTGCCTTGCTCAAGTCTCAGCACTGTACTACACTATACAATATGAAAACTAATGACATCTCAAAAAGGTGTTGTGATATCACAAGAAAAAAGATGCGGTGTCACTGATAATGTAGCAGCCAAATCAAGTATCTATATAGGGGGGTCTATAAAGGGGGGGGTACCCAAAATGGATGGTATATAATGAAAAACCTTATAAAGATGGATGATTTAGGGGTACCCCTATTTCAGGAAACCTCCATATGTCACCTTGTACAAAGGGCAAAGCCCAATGAAATCCAGGAGTATCTTTCCCAGAATATTGGTGATCTTGATCTCATAGTTTCAGGGGGTTATACATGCTGGCTTGACATTTCCTACAATAAGAGTTTGTGGATTTGGATAAATTGTGGCATTATGCGGCATTTGCAAATAAGGAATCTGAATACATGATCCACTTCGAAGAGCTTGGAACCACATGCTCTAGAAGGCTGAAATCAGACTTTTCTGAGTGGCTAAGCTTGTCCCTGTCCCTGAAAAATGGTCCACTTCCCTTGTGCCTTCGTGGAACTCGCACCGCAACCCATGGAAGTCGCAAGTGGGTGAACAAAGGAGGTAGCTGAGCTAAAACGCTCTGCTGCGCATGTCCAACATGTCATCTAGCCATGGAAAATCATCCCTAAACGCCCCAATAAAAAACGCCCTGGTTGTCGGGTCAGCCCCAAAGTCACCATGGTGGATGTGACCCGCAGACAACCCAGATGGTAATTACCATCAATCCACCGTGGCGGGCAGCGCTTGGTAGTTTCATAGGGAATGAGGGAACGCGACAAGGAACGATTCTCCAAGTAACGACTGTTTAGAATCATCCCGGCCCATTCCCTACTACAAAGCAGTGCTAGTGTTGTTTCAGATTTCTATCTTTGACCCCTGTGGAAAAAGCAGACACTCCACTGACAAATTTCTGTCGCTTCGGAAGGGGAAGATGTTGGGGGTCCAAACTTCTGGATCCTCCAGGCGTGTTTTTTAAAAGGGCCCAGCAACATTGCGAAGTGGCGAACTTGACTTATTTTAGAAGACTGGTAGGGTTATCTCAGCATTGTTTTACAAGACTGGTGTATCCCCCCATCTGCTAAAGGTTAAAGCTAGGATTTCCTTAATCTTGGGCGAAGATTAAGACAAACCCAACCATCATACTAAGTTTGGTTACAAATCCCTACTATATCACTCAAAAATATCTCTATTGCATTTCCATATTTCGAAGTTGCTATCATCATCCATCATCATCCATCCTTTCGAAAAACGCCATCAACATGTTCCTGGGGATTCCTGGCGTCTCCCAGCCATCTTTACCCGGAAACCCATGGCTTTTTCCACATCTTTTAACGCTTTTAACGGGCTCCCCGTTGTTTTTCCGTGGCTCCACACCAGACCAGGGCCGTCCAGCCCTGGTCGTCTCTCGCATCTACGTAGGCTCCGTCTTGCAAGGCCTGATCGGCCAAGCCATGGGGAGATCCGGAGATTATATATATATACATATGTATATGTGTATATATATATATGTAATATGTGTATGTAATATGCGTATAATATCTGGTTAAGTTATATGTATGTAATATGTAACTATATATATATACCATCTGGTTATTTAACATAGCGAACTGGAAAATCACCATGCTATTAATAGGTAAATCATCTATAAATGGTCAGTTTCCATGGCTATGTTAAATTACCAGAGGGTATACTATATATATATATATGAATATGTGTATGTAGATGTATATATAATGTATCATGTGCACATGTGTATACATATATATATATACACATATAATCATCCTAAAGTAGATAGATAGAATATGAGATTTTCATCCAAGATATGCCCATAACTTCGTGATGGTTTTTGAAATGTACATACTCTATCTACGACAACAGGATGATTACATAGTATCATATATTGTACAGCATTGTATGCTATATATATATATATGTTATATGTATGTATATAACATATATGTATCATGAAAAAACAACATGTTTTATCATTCGTATCAGGATATGTAGTTGATAAGTCTTTTTGATAGCTAAATGTTGCTCAAAAGAACAACTGCTCCTTTGTGGTCCGAAAACCATGCTTGTCCGCCTTTTCGATCTCTCCATTGACGTAGAACATATGCCCAAAGGCCCATGTGTTAGAGATGGCTTTTCCCGATTGACAACAGGGACTCCTAGTGGCTCTCGCGGTTGGTTGATATACGTATATTAGATATCTAAAATTATATTATATTATGTAGAGAGAGAGAGAGAGCTGTGTGTGTATATGTATCTATGTGTATTCCCTGTTGTTGTTTAACATTGCTATGAAAAGTGGCCCATTTGTAGATGGTTTATGATTACTCACCTATCAAAAATTTTGATTTTCCATAGCTACGTAAAATAACCAGATGGTAAATTGCCGAGAACAAGGTACTACAATCCGTACCAAACCCTGGTCAACCAGGCCTTGCTCACAACCCAGATCATCCATAGTAACATAGTATAGTCATCAAGATTTAGCTCCTCCATGTAGTTCAATATGCCAGCGCTGTGGATAATACCCAGCAATAAACCTATTTGGGGATGGTAAACATAGCACCCATAAAAATGGTGATGACTTGGGGATGGTTTATGACATTGCGTTTACCACACATTCATCCCAAAAAAACAATACAACATATACAAGCCCATATCGTGGCAAAATCGGTATTTTGATGATAATAAAAGCATTTATAGATGGGATATTATATATATATATATGATGATGATAATCATAATATATATATATCGATGTTCATCATCCACTATAATCCTATATATACAATAGTATCTGGTTGGTGGTATACCTACCCCTCTGAAAAATATGAGTTCATCAGTTGGGATGATGAAATTCCCAATATGATGGGAAAGTCATTCAAAATTCCATGGTTCCAGTCACCACCAACCAGTGATTTACCATTATTATATCCATCTGGTTATTTGGAACATCCATCTGGCTGAATTATAAGATCTATTCACTAACCTGCAGGATGGTGCCCCCCCAAATTTATAATAGTGTGATATAAATCCCGTATTTTGGTGCTCGAATCCCGATTTTCGGAGCGCCTGAACCACAGCCTCTTTGTTTCCACCTCGGTCAGGGGATGGTGAATCCCATTGCTGGGAAAGGAAGTATGTGGAAAAATGACGATAGTCACAGCAATGATTGGGGGTCACAACAATCGTAACACATCAAGTGGCATTTTTTCAATAGCTCTGATTGTTACGATTGCCACTTGAGATTAAAAAAAAAGTGCCGAGGTCGCATAGTGGAAAAATATGTGGAACACTACCTCAATCATAGGAAAGTATCCACAAAACAGCGCAGAAGTCGTTGGCTTCACATCTGAAAAGCTAGCTTAGAGCTGCTTACGAAATCACTGTCAGTTTCAGAAAGCTCAGAAGTGGCGGTCGAAGCGCGAGTTGGTCAAAAAATGTCTGGTGCTGAGTTGGTCGCCAGTTCGATGGATTTTTTGCAATCATTTCTGGCTTCCTACTAATGTGGGTAAAACAATGTCATGTTTACACCCATGACTGTGAATGGTAACCATACCACCTATAAAACTGGTGATTGGATGGTTTAGATATCACCCACTGTGTCCTGATGAACATTCCATCAAATACCATGGAAATCACCATTCAATGACCATTATATTCCCGTTATATTCCATGGAACTCCCATCAAAATCTCATCAAAATCGCATTAGATCAAAGAAAATCCAATCAAGGTCTCATGAATTCCTATTAAATCATATTAAATCACCATGTTGGCATCGCATTCCTGCTGGAAAATCGGCCCGTTGCCAATGCGTCATTGGCGTCGAGACAGGCCACGCTGTGCGGCTTGCAGCAAGGCTTGGTTTCTCTGTTCCGCCTGGCAACAGGAAAAGGGGTCAAGCAAAAAAAAGAGGGAACGACAATACCAGTAACAGATACCCTCTGGCTATGACTAACATAGCCATGGGAAATGGCCCATTTATAGAGGTTTACCTATTAAAAATGGTGATTTTCCATGGCTATGTTAAATAACCAGATGTTACAATGGTCATTTCAGGAACCCAAATTGGAGGTACCTACCATATATAAGGCCTATATAAGGCCGATGTAAGGGAATATCCCCACAAAATATGGCCTTATATGGTACAGTACCTCCATTTTAGGATCCTGGAATGGCCATTGACAGTAACAGATAATATATATGTTACTGGTATATGGCATAAGTTGATTCCCATTCATATTACAAGTTACTACATATAATATGTTAAATATGTTACAAACAAACAGATCATATATGGCATATCCAATGTTGATTCCCATTCAGTGGCATATCCAATACCAATATATGGCATATCCAGTGGCAGATAATATATGGCATATTCATACTTTATATGATTTATATGCAACAAAGAATATTGATAAGTCCAGTAATCCAGAACAAAATATTGCCAACAAAAAAAGGACGCGTCACCGCGTCAATAAAGTCTTGCCTTTGACGAAGCAAACAGTGCTGTAAAGAGTGTCTAGTCATCTAAAGAGGGTGATGCGCTCTTTGGCAATCAAACATGGCTGGCTGGAAAAAAAAATGAAAAAAAACATATCTGGTTGGTGGTTTTAACCATCTTGAAAAATATTAGTCAGTTGGGACGATGACATTCCCAATATATGGAAAGTCATAAAAGCCATGTTCCAAACCACCAACCAGATATGTTATAGTAAAACTATCTCTGAATGACATTTTTATGGCGATCTTCTGTCACGTAAGACTACTGGATGGTCTGTCACGAATTTTGCTTCCTGCTGCTTGGAGGAGCATTCAAAAAAAAAATCGTCAGTGATTTTTTTCACCATACTTCTAAAGCATTTTTGGATGGAATAATTACTCTCTGGTTATGACTAACAGTTCGCCATGGTTTTTCGATGGCCCTAATCGAAATAGATGGTTTACCTAGCTATATAGCATGGTGGATCTTTCCATGGCGAACTGTTAGTCATAACCAGATGGTAACCCATGAATTTATGGGGGGCATTCGTTCTAACCAGGGGTCTGAACCACGATTCCACGATTTCTCTACGATGATCCTCCAAGTACCTACTGGTTCAGTCAGCCCGGTTCACGACCAAGCCACTTGGTAGCGACAGTCCCAGGTCGGATTGTTAAGGGATTAACAAAACATGCCTGTAGGTGTCGACCTCGTAACCTATATCATCATGTAGATGTCGAACATGAAAATAATCAGCAACCAAAAAGAAAAGTCAATTGCCACTACTTCAGTAGATTTTGGGTTGCTTGGGTTGCCTCGATCCCAAGTCCTAATTGGCTTCTTGGTCAAGGCACTCAAGGCCATAGAAACCACCTACAAACCCCCCAAAAGTGGCTATCATTGACCCATAGACCGTAGCTTGGAGCAACCTTCCGCAAATACCCCTTAAACATCATTAACCATCATTAAAGCCTATTAAAGTCCCATTAGCCATCATTAAACCATCATTGATTCGTACCAAACCCCATGAATTCCAGTCGCTATCAGCCACCCCAACAGCCGGCGAGAGATGCGTTTTTCGATGTCCAACGCCTCGAGCAACGCCATTCGGAGTTCCAGGTGGTCTTGCCTCAAGGACGACAGGGACCGAAATGAAAAGATCCCCCCCACAAAAAAAATGGATGATTGTAGAAAAATTGCCCATTGAATCCCATTTATAATGATGATTTTCCCAGCTATAAAGGGACACTAGGTCCGAAAAGGGACACTAGGTCCGAAATCATGGAAAGCAGTTGGGTTTTATGATGTTTTATGAAACCACAGAGGTTTTTCAAAAGGTAAAGAAACATCGGATTGATTCACCATGATTCACAAAAAAATGCTGAAAATGCTTTGATCTTCACCTGGGTACTGGAAAATCATCTGCTATCCTAACAAGAAAAATCTTCGTGCATGACCATCATCTCTGGTGTTAGAAACTCTACGCTCCCAGGTCACCTCCCAAAATTTTAAAAAAAAAAAATCCGGATTCAGGGGTTGTGAAAACCCCATCATCCCCAAATGCTCCATGTATGGAATATTTACCTACATTTACCCCAAAAATGACCCAAATGTAGGTAAATATTTGGAGCATCTGGGATCCACTGTAAAAATGATCTAAAATGATTAAAAATGTGATTTTGGGGGCCCTGTTCGGGAGGTTTTACCATGTTTTACCATTGGTGGCATCCAGAAAGCAGTTTCCGGGCCCAACAAAATCGTTCCAAAAAGGACAAATGGTTTCTCTCCGGTAATTCATTCAATATCTAAGAGTAGTTGAATAGAAACGGAAATCATGTCATGGAATTATACGAATGACGTATAATTATGAATAATGTCATGGATGTTTCAAAAGGCCTAGAAAATCCTAGAAATGGAACATCCGCCATAAGCATATCCATGTATTATCATTAGTCTTTCCCGCAAAGGAGAAGAATTTTCCAATTGCTACTTTTTCTCGCCAAAAATAAACACGTGAGACGTGACCAAAACAGATGACATTTCTGAGGCTTAAGAAAATGTGACTCTCGTCCCATACACATGAACGTTTGCAAGTACACATAATATAGCGGCAGTAAGTATGCTATGTATACCTCACTGATCCTACATGACTTCGAATGGTTGAAGCAGACACTGACCGCATGACTATTGAGGTGCAAACACGTTCGTTGGTCAGGAAAGAACCACAGCTTTTGTTGGAGAAACCGTCGTCGATTTGTCGATGTGGCGTGGGGCTGAAAATGGAGACCCGAATGACCATTTACCATCTGGTTATTTAACAGTTCGGCATGGAAAGATCCACCATGCTATTAAGAACGGTAAACCATCTATTTCTATGGGCCATTTTCCATAGCTATGTTAGTCATAACCAGAGGGTAACTTAGTCATAACCTGACCATTGAACTGAGAAAATGATATGATTAGCACAGATTTTTCACTGGGCAGAGTATATAGGACTTAGGAATTGCCTCTTCCGCCTGACATCACGAACTTCTCAAAAAACGACCGGTGAGAAAAAAAAACACCATGGCCATTCAACACCTGGCGACACTGACAAGATTTGGGTTTTGGGTACGGGAAACTGGGAAATTGGGCTTAGATTTGCAGGCTGGGTAAGCCCAGTTACAAGTTCTTTTTCTCGCGACAACTTGAACCCGACACGAGCACCCAAGCCTTGGCCCTTTTCCAAGATGTTCCAGCCAGGCTTATAGCCCACTACCCTCCAGTAAATTAACATAGACCCTGCCAGTCATCGGGGTTCGAAGACTAGTACTACAAATTGGTCATTTTCAGGGTCCAACTGTTGATTTACCAGGGGGTAAGTGAACCATGAATAATACCCATATCCGATCCCGTTGGTTGGCCAACAGGTATCCTATGGTTTAAGTAGAAATCCCCAAAGAATCCAGATCGGACAATGACACACCGTGACCAATCATGTTTGGGCTTGTTTGGGGGATTGCGGGTTATATATCCTGTTATACTACCTAGATTACAATTATGTTAAGCAATGGCATTGTTTTTTCTCTGTGCAATATGTAGTTGTTGGTTAAGTATCCCCAAATTTGTTGACAGATAATTTCCCTTCAAATCCCTACAGATGGTCAAATCCCCATTCGAAATCCCATCCAACCATGTGTATCAACAAATCCCATCACATACCGGTATCGCATGAAAGTCCCATGAAGTTCCCATTAAAGAAAGATCCGGAAAAAAACGCTAAAAACCGCGGGACGCATGATCCGCCACGGCCAGGCCAAACTTGTCGCAAAGGTTCAGGTCGAAGCCTGGCTTTGTGGGAAATCTCCATGGCAACATTGGAATATCCATGGAAATATAGATCTACCCTCTGGTAAATCAACATAGACCCTGGCAGAAAACGGGGTTGGAAGACTAGTTTACATTAAAAATGGGCTATTTTCAGGGTCCAACTGTTTATTTACCAAGGGTATATTCCATTGATCCATTGATATTCCATTAATATTCCAATATCTATATAATTTTGATCCATTAATATTCCAATGGATCAATTAATCTATATGATATTAAATGGAATATTCCATTGATATTAATTTAGATTCAACCTGATTCAATTATAGTGGAATATCAAATGGAATAAACCGTGGGAATGTAAAACCTCATTAAAATTTCTACATCATTGGAACATTGGAACATCTATAAATCTGGGAATATCAATGGTATAAGCACCAGTTCTCTTTGGCGAATAATCTGGATTTACCCTCTGGTAATTTGTTACATAGCTATTGAAAATACCCCAGTTAGTTCGTTGATTTACCTATTCGAAATGGTGATTTTCTATAGTTTTTTGTATGTTTGCCAGAGGGTAGGTCCATGATGATTCCCCAAATACCCATGCTATCCCCATTGTATTGCCAAGAAACATCCCCATTTTCCCCATATAGTGGGATGATTCCCCGGAATACCCACAAATCACCATAGTAATGGGATACTCACCATATGATATATATATAATATGTCTGTATATATATATATATGTATATATTTGTATGGTGTATATATATATACATACATACATACATACATATATTAATATACAAATATTAATATACAAATATATATATATATACCGTCCAATAAATTAACAGCTCGAATTCGACCCTGAAAATAGGTTTTTTTGTGGGAAGTAATCTTCCAAACCCCAACTCATGGCAAGGTCTATGTTTATTTTCCTGGAGGGTACATGGAATAGACAATAGAAGTAGAATAGGAGCAACGCATTTCCATGAATAATAGGACAATAGTCCATGTGTCCCATTCATTCCATAAATGTGTTAACCAAGAAATGGAATAAATGGAATGAATGGGATAAATGCAGGGATATATCTGGGGATGACATGGTGGTATAACCGACCATAATGAGATATGGGATATTTAATGGGATGTAGGATTTTTACGGGGTATAAATTGAATATTCCATGTCTCCAACTAACCAATCAACCCTGCCATGAGTTGGGAGTTGGAAGACAAGTCTGTCATCTAAAAATCAGCTTCGCACTGAGGTATACTGAGGTTCTACCTTCAGTGGGGGTAGTCATAGGGATCTCACGGATTAACCAGCCATGTGCAGTTAAATATCTCCATGGGGAATAGTTCACCATGTCCAGCAATTATGTGGCGTTCCCGTCTCATTTGATGGGGATATCTTGTGGCAATATGTTCACCAACAACGATGAGGGAAATAAAAAAAAATGCGATACGAGAATGATAATCAACGTATGAGGATGTTAAGTAAACATTTTATGGGAAGATCATGGAGATATAACTGGAACTTCACCAACAAAATGGTGTGTGTGTGTGTGGGCTTGTCAGACGGTGGCTGTACCCATTGTAATTCTTCACGAACGATGGGTTGTAAACCATGGGAATTGTGGCCGCCCAGCGTTGGACAAACCCCAGACAGGGATCAAATTTCACAGCCGGGACCTCAGAGTTCGACTGGTTCAGCCTGAAAATGATGGCTCTTTTCGTGAAACTCCAAGGAACACCTCCCAAGATGACCCCGACCCCAGCCATGAATACAGTAATCCCATGATGTTTTCATTGCAGGGTCGCCATTGTGGATTCCAAGTCAGCCCAAGCCCGCCTTTATCCAGCAACACCGCCAACCTTGGATGTGATGGAAGCAAGAGCATCAGGTATGTGATGGCTCTGTGGCGGAGACCCCATTTTACAAACACGTTAGGAGGACTAAAATGATGATAAAATCTGATAAAGAAGAGGACGTTGAGGTTCAAAATATTGAGACCTTAAGATCCTTAAGTTCAGTGCATAAACATATGGCTATGAGTCAAAACCCCACCTAAAATAGCTGTTGAAAATGGATGTGAATAAACCCCCAATATGGCAATTTCATAGGTCTTGACCCATCCCCATTCCCCAGATCACGCGGCTTGTGCCGTTGCAACCGTTGACGCTCCATGGGATTCGGGGGCCATGTTACCTATTCGTCAAGCGAAAATAGATTGACGACCACCACAAAAGCTTGGCAATTTGGATGTGTCTGAAAATAGTGTACCCCTAAACCCAATGGTTTTGCTGATCATTATCCCTATGAAATGGCTATTTCATTGGGAATATACCTTATTTTCAGACAAACCCATTTTCTGGCACATGTGAGTATCTGGTTGGTATACCTACCCCTCTGAAAAATGATGGAGTTCGTCAGTTGGGATGATTATTCCCAATATATGGAAAAATAAAAGTCATGCTCCAAACCACCAACCAGTTATGATGTTGAAATCGTCAGCTACACAAAAAAGTATGAAATTCCGACCATTAAGTTCAGACTCCCAGCGATTTACTGTCACTTAGCATCATCCCAGCCATTCGTTCGTTGTGTAGTTGCGGTCAAAACTGAGTATCCGAAAAAATTAAGCTAGTGAATGTTGAAAAGACGCATTTTACGTGCTCGCAACGGCCTTACACCGCATATCCTCCGGAAATCAAGCCTGGCAATGGAAAATCCCCCATTGAATTCAATGATGTTCGCATTTAGTTCAATGATGTTCCCATTAAAATCTCCATTTATAGGGGTTTTTCCGTGATTTTCCCATATGTTCCTTGATTTTCCCGTGGAATTTCCAATGGATTTCCATGTTGATGACACCGCGATGGTAGTTTGTTGGACGCTCCACAAAAAATCCCCAGCCATGTTGGTTGGCGTCCGTACGCTTCAGAGTGGCCATGCTTCGCAGCCCACATGGCCTAACCAAGGAGTAGGCCTGCCTCAAATCTGGCTTTATCCATGTTTACTCTCAGGATCGGGACCCCTTGGAATTGTGGCTGAATTGAATATATGGCTGTTAAATTCTCAGTATTCTACATATTCAATTCCCATCTACATACTAGAGATCTATAAAATGTAGATTCATTTATTCATATTCTATTCCCATCATCATATATACATTTATTTATAAAATGATATACCCTCTGGTAAATTAACATAGCTATGGAAAATCATCATTTTTCATGGGTAAATCCACGAACTAAATGGCAATTTTCAATAGCTATGTTGACATAACCAGAGGGTATATCCCATTAATATCCCATTATTTCCCATTAAAATCCCATTAAATCCATTATAGATCCTATTAAATCCACTATAAATCCCATTAAATCCACTCTAAATCCCATTAAATCCACTATAAATCCCCATAGAAATAGATGGTTTACCTCTTAAATCATGTAGATGTCCCATGTCCCCAGGATATCCCCGGGACCATCCCATCCAGGCGCCGCATCGAAGCACCCTTCGCCTCGGTGCGTCCGTCCACGTCTTGCACTCCCACCGTGGCTTTGGCCGCGATGAGAGTGACGGCCACCTGCGGAAGTGGCACCGGAAGTGGCAACACCTGAAAAAAAAATAGGTCTTCTATAAGCATAGTCGACCATAGTTGTAACTGATTCTGATTCTATAGCTAGTTGTATCTGATTAGTAGGTAGTTGTAACATGTTGTAACTGATTAGGAGCTAAATGTAACATGTTGTAACTGATTAGTAGCCTATGTAAGTGTTGTGTTTTTGTTGGTAGAATGGAAAAAGAGTGGGAAAATAACAACGGGCCGGGCCCCCGTTGACCACAGCTAAAATCAGTAATTAGAAGCAGGTGGAGAAAGCTGAACTAAGCACAGGGGCCCCGAAACATGCAGCGAAAAAAGTGTAAATCAGCCATGTTGAAGCAATAAACATGGGGATTTGAAAAGGATTACCCTCTGGTTGCTTAAACATAGTGGAAAATTGCCTATTTATAGATGATTTATGATGATTCACTGATTTACCATCAATAAAAATATTTACAAAATGGTGATTTTCCAGTTCGCAAAGCGTTAACCAGAGGGTAGATAAGAACATGCCAGATAGATCTTGCTTGAGCTGATCTCTTCATTTTTTCGGAAGTCCACCTTTGGGCTAGATAAACCGGGAATCATAACCTGAAAAAACACCAGTTGCAACAAGTGAATCATGGACAAATGGTGATCTGGTTGGTGGTATACCTACCCCTCTGAAAAATATTAGTCAGTTGGGATGATGAAATTCCCAAGATATGGAAAAATAAAAGCCATGTTCCAGACCACCAACCAGAGTGAATCATGGAGAAATGGGTTTAATTTATTTTGGGGCAACCTGGAGATATGATAACGATGCAAAAAGAAACAAGAAACGTGGTTAAAATATGGCACCATTTTGAGGTAAGTGAACGCAACTGCGACAGGAGCCCGCAAAAAACACCTACGACCTGCTCTGCTTGTCGGATTGGCAAGCTCCAAGATTAGTACCAAAATAATTTTCTTACAGCAAAGCCGAAGAAGAATCAAGAAGATACAAGTAGAGTAGAATCATTATAAAATCCTGGCAAATTACTGTTCTGTCTCTTTTTGAGGGGTTGCTATAAGGATCCGCGCCAAGCCTTGCTTGTATGGTTTCCAGTCACTTTTGATGTGGCCTTTCCAGTAGACCGTGTGTTGGTTCGACCATGATCCCAAAATTATTAGGGGGGTTATCTATCGTTGTATCCCCACGAAAACCCATGGAACAAAAACCTCTTGATGGATTGAAGCCACGTTTCCTGCTTAGCTTGACCAAAAGATATCAAAATATCATATAAAACATATACATCTATATACATCTATATATTTACATATATATATATCTTTGGGATATACCAATACATATATATATATATCATATATCATATATTAGCTGAGGATCTCCCATGAAAATCACCCAAAAAAATCACCCAACATCTACAGTATCCATGCAAGGCGTACGCTGGCATGACCACCGGAACAGGCCCAGGTCAGTGGGGTCCAACCTGGTGGGTGGGAAATGGGTGAAATGATCTTTGGGGCCCACTGAAATAGATGAAAATATGGGAGAATTCCAGGAGAATTACCCTCTGGCTATGACTAACAGTTCGCCATGGAAAATCACCATGCTATTAATAGGTAAACCATCTATTTCTATGGACCATGGCTTCCATGGCTATGTTAAATAACCAGAGGGTATGGAATGAGGAAACTATGGGAGAATCATAGGACATATTATGATATAATATGATATATTAATGGACATATTACCTTGAAAATTCCTGAATTTGACTTTCTCGGCTTGTGTCAATGGTGTCAACGAACGGGGTGAAACACCTGCAATGACTGTCCTCCTTTCCTGGCGCTGCCGAAGCGGCATGAGAAATTTTGGGGAACTAATACCTGATTGGTGGTATACCTACCCCTCTGAAAAATGATGGAGTTCGTCAGTTGGGATGATGAATGTTCCAATATATGGAAAGTCATAAAAGCCATATTCCAAACCACCAACCAGATACTAACTATAATAACTATATGTGGTAGATGTGCCAAAAATAAAGATCCCAAATACTTCGTGGAATATCCCAACTGTATACTTGGAAACTTCAAATCAAGACTGTTTCTGGCCGGCCATGGTTTCCAGTTTCGCTGCAAGAATTCCCAGAGGGTAAGCATCATGGCCATTCACTCTCAATGAAAAATCACACTAAATCCCGGTTTAAAAACAAAAAATAAAAATAAACATTCAAAAACACATGAAATCAAAAATCCATCAATCATGGGATTTCATCAATCACACTATCCCAGGGACTATCCCATCAAAAATACCATGGAAATCCCCTGCAGGATGGGGCCCCCCAGTTATAAGTTGGTTTATAAACCCCATTAACCATAGTTATCTATAGTTATATCTACCATAAACCATAGTTAAGCCATTTATAAACCAACTTAGTTATCTTGGGGGCCCCATCCTGTATGATTGATGGATTTTCGACCCAGAAATCTGGTCGAAACCCAGATCGCCCGCGACTCGGGTCCCGGGCCATTCTTGTTCTTCCCATCCAAAACCGCTCGCCGGGGCAGAAGCAGTTTGACCTTGGCGAAGTTTTTTCGGAGTTCACCCGAAAAAAAACCAAATTATCAGAATGGAATGTAAGTATTATGCTATACAATAAATAGTATCTATTTGTATTATGATATATATATAGTGATTAATAGTGGTGATTAATGGCTGGTTGGTGGTATACCTACCCCTCTGAAAAATATGAGTCAGTTGGAATGATGAAATTCTCAATATATGGACAATAAAATTCATGTTCCAAACCACCAACCAGTAAGTATTCCCCTCCACAGGGTCTATGTTAATTTACCAGGGGATATGATATGTAATAGTATCTATTTGTATTATTATTATTATATATACATATGTGTACATCCAAGTAATTCAAGTACTCACCAAATTATTATGGAATGTATAATAAGAGATATGTGTGGATGGTTGCGAAATCCTGCACCACCTGGGATGGTAGAGAGCCTATAAACAATGGGATGTTTACCATCTATCAGCTGGTGCAGGATTTCGCAACCATCCACCGTACGTGTATGTATGTACTTGAATTACTTGAAGATGTTTATTGTGGTGTGTACATTGTATGTTTGTTGTCTGTACGACATGGAATATTGTGTTAGTGTGGTATAGATTGTTGACATTATGGACATGTGTGTGTGTGTTCGATACAAATAACATCAAGCAAACATACTACATATGTATACTTAGATATCATCAGGTGCTGTGTATACCTACATACATATGCTGGCTGAAGTCTCCGTGAGGTCTTTGGAATTCGAATTCATCCAGATGGTATACCCATAATCCCCAATGATTCCATGTGTATGTGTGTCTCTGTGTGTGTGTATCAATCCCCAATGATTCCATACATATCTATATATATAGAGAGAGATATATATATATATATAGATTTACATATGCATATATATATATATACATAGATATAGCTACATATATATATATATGTAGTGTATCCAGCATATCCACAACAAATATCTCCCGTATCACCGGAAAATGCTTGGCCTTCGCCTGGGCCCGGACAAACTCATTGAAGCCGCCCTTGGCCGAGAGGTGCAGTGCCGTGTTGCCCATCTTATCAGGCGCCTAGGAGAAGTGTGTCAGATGGAAAAGCCGATGGGAAAATTGGGGGTATACACTTGCGGTACCCCAAATCCAAAATTAGACTATGAAGGAGACATTAATGGGAGACTTACCCTCTGGTAATTTAACAGTTTGCTATTGAAAATGGCCATAGAAATAGTGGATTTACCCATTAATAGCATGGTGTTTTTCCATAGTTATGTTAGTTTAATGGGAGACATCTGTGAAAAAAAAATCAGGGTGAAAAGATGTGAAATACCAAGTCTGAGCTGAACCTTCCCACCAGTTTACATCTCCTTTGGAGTCATAGAAAGGTACGTACCCGGCCTGGTAAACGTTAACAAAAAACTATGGAAAGATCCACCATTTTCAATGGGTAAATCCACTATTTCGACTGGGCCATTTTCAATAGCAAACTGTTAAATTGCCAGAGGGTAATTTCATAGTCAACGGAGTGGAGATCGACTCGGAATACTGGAACCAAAGTAATGGCCGGGAAGGCCGGGAATGCTGCAGAAAAATCACGTTCGGCGGGACCATTACTGGATTACCCCACTCAGTAAATAGGTTTTGGCACTGGCCGCGGCATGATGAAACACGAAGCAGAATTTTGTCTGGAAATTGGAGATTTAAAATTTAGTCTGAAAATGGACCCCCAAATGGTTAAATAAAGGCGTTTTCCCCACAATGATAATCTTGGTCAGTCTCCCTCAGTCTCCCTACTTTTGAACAAATCTAAGTTGATATGGTTGCTGATATAATTGTATCCCCTTGTATCTCTCTTAACCTCTGATTGTTTTTGGATGTTTTTTTGTATATCTTGGGGAAGCCGACCCTGCCCACACAGCGACCTGAGTTCCCCGCAAAGTCTGGATTTCTATCCAAAATGAGCGCAGCAATTTGTGTCTCGGCAGCGTTTCATCAGGGCTTGGCTCAGGGGTCACGGACTGGTGGCGGAACATGATCTTCCCCATGAATGGGTATATCCCCTGTGCGAAAATAACCCATGTTGTTCCAGAGTTGTATGTAACATTATATAAATTCTTGCAAAGTGCAATAGGAAACCAGATAGAATATTCGACATATATATACATATATGTATACAAATATATATATATATATATATATATTATATATATACATGTATTATATATATACATATATTATATATACATATATTATATATATACATATTATATATATATACATATATTATATATATATACATATACATATATTATGTATATATACATGAGAAACGCCTATAGCCTATAACCGAATGATACAGGATACAGTTTTTGTTGTAGGATATCCCAGCAATGTGGAACCGGTCGCGCCCGGCTGGGATTCCAGACATCCCCGAGCCTAGCGCGCTGTGCTTCACCATGGCCAGGAACAGAAACGAGGAAAGTTGATACCCTCTGGTAAACTAACATAGCTATGGAAAATCACCATGTTTAATGGGAAAATCCACTATTTCTATGGCCATTTTCCATAGCAAACTGTTAAATTACCAGAGGCTAAGTGACAAAAACATGGCAATGAAAAAAAGAAGAGGAGACACAACAATCGTGGTCATGTAACCGAATCCGGAATGTGAAGGAATAGGTGGCAAGATCATCAGCACGTTTTGCGCGGGCATCTCCCCATGTCACCATGGCAGCATGTCATGATCCTGGGGACGTGATGGCTGATCTCCAACCATTTGTCCCAACACCTCGTGTTGATGGTATTGTTAAGATTCATCCCACCATACCCTCATATATCCCAGCAAATCCCGTACTATTCTTGGTCATTACTATCCCAATTCACCCATGAAAACTCATCCAAAAAACTGTTTAAAGCCAAAAGAAACATATTAAGAAACAGATTATCCTTCCCAGTCATGGGTGGTGCCAAGGGCATTGTTTTACCCACATCAATTCACCATGATTTGTCCAGCTATATAAACTATATACCATATATATAATCCATGAATCCATACTAATTCACCACCACCACTGTGGATGGTTGCGAAATCCTGCACCAGTTGATAGATAGTAAACATCCCATGATTTCTAGGGCTCCAAGCATCCTTTTGGTGGTGCAGGATTTCGTAATGATCCACCGTATGATCACTATTTCATTTCCTAAACTTAGGATTTAAGTCTCTATAGTGTCAAAACCAATGTATATCCATGTATAGATAATATTAAATCTACCAGCTATAGATGATTTTCCCAACTAGAATAGGAATGTCCGTTATAAATTTTAAATCATCCACATCTAGATAGGGAATTTCCCTTATAAACCATCCATTTGGGGTACCATTTCAGGAACCCCCCATATATGGGCCACGGTCAATATTTGGTATATAGCTCCAAGTCATCAATGTTTGAAGAGTGTATTGTTGTTTTTCAGGTTTTGGTATATAAGCAAATGTTATCGTTTTTTGAAGAGAGTATTATCGCTTTCCAAGCCCCAGCTCAATTTCAAAAAAACATGTCTCGAATACTACTCTCCATTCACCTAAATCTTGGCTGTTGCCCAAAAATATATGCCCCTACAAAAAATTCCCTATATAGATTTAGATAGGCATTTTTTTCCTTTTAAAAAAACAATATCCAGCTATTGGGGTACCATTAAATCCACTATAAATACCCATTAAATCCCATGAAATCCCATTAAATCCATTCTAAATCCAGCTATTTCACTATAACCACTATTAAATCCACTATAAATCCACTATAACCACTATTAAATCCAGCCTTTTGGGGTACCGTTTTTCAGGAACCCCCCATTTCGAAATGCCGCGAAGAAATCTCCACCTGGCAGCGAAGTGCAACGGCGTCAGTCCGAAGGTGGCATCTTCCGCCTCCACGCTGACCTGGTGGAAGAATCCATGGGGAAAAACGTGGAGAGCTGAGCAATCCATGGGATGCTTGGGATGTTAACTATGGGATATTAATAGTGGTTAATAGTGGTTAATAGTGGTTAACTAGTGAAATGTAGGGAACCCCAACATAGCTGACATTTATGGATGTTCATCCAAGTAAAATTGATCATACCATCTGGCTATTTGTAACAGTTCGCCATGGAAAATCACCATGCTATTAATAGCTAAACCATCTATTTCTATGGGCCATCGAAAAACCATGGCGAACTGTTAGTCATAACCAGAGGGTAACATATAGATGTTGACTAGTGAAAATTAGGGAACTAAATGGAACTAATGTGTTTTTTAAGATGTTCAACTATAGTAAACATGTTTGGAAACTTGAATGAGCATGTTTTTTTCAGAATTGAAACCTCTTTAACCAGCCGCGTGATGGGAGTCGGCAAACTAGCAACAAAGCACAAATTGGGATTCCAGTGATTCCGGCTGATGGATTCTCGATCAACAAAGTCTTGTACCTTCAAACATCTTCAAACACTGGGGAAACTGAATCCACATGGATAAGTGGATTATATGGAATATGGATTATCCATGTGGATGACTGCGTCAAAATTGCGCGAATCCATATGGGAATCCATATATACATATATGATCATATATGTTGCTAAATGAGAAGTGGAAGCTGAGGTAACAGGGGTATATTAATGGATAAGTTCAACATTGGACTGTTCCTGCAGCCAAAATGGCGAGCAAGATCCGCAACATTTTTTTGGAATATCACCACAAACTATGCAAGCTATGCAAGGTGGGGTCATCAGTTTGTTAGCCAGGTTGGTTTCTGAGTAGCTCAAGCGCATTTAACTATGGTTTTTATGGTAGATGTATAGATCATGTTGGTTTTATAAGCGAACTTATAACTCGACACCACCCTGTGGGGAGTTTCGCAAACCAAAGCTGAAAGTTGGTCAGCTGACGGTTGGAACATGAAAGAATATCAAAGAATTGAGCCATGAAAGTTATACCCTGGCTGGTTGCCCTCTGGAAATTTAACAGTTTGCTATTGAAAATGGCCCAGTCGAAATAGTGGATTTACCCAGCTAGAAAATGGTGGATCTTTCCAGTTCGTTTTTTGTATGTTTACCAGAGGGTAACCGAGTAATTTCTTAGGACTTATATGACCTAATTTCTGGGGATTCGATGACTACCATAGTAGGGACCCCATCTGGGGTCAACCCCCATGGGCCCGTGGGCTGCGCTTGGCTGGATCCGGCGGAGAAAAAAATCAAACGAACACAGAGGAAGTTAGATAGAGTTTTGTTCAACATTGAAATTTGGGGTCTGGGGTGGCAAAACTTGGTAGATGTCTGTAGGGTTTGATTTTTTTGTCCATCTACTGTACGTTCAACCTCTGTCCAACAAGTATGGTCCCTTGGTGGGATTTGGAGAACTATTTTTATATACAGTACCCAAAGCCAACAGCAAAGATGGGGGCCTTTACTCTTGCCAATAAATATGCATGGGTATCTGCTGATATCTTCTATCACTAAGGGGGAATTTCAACTAAGCATGGAGAGTAGAATCACTGCAACAACCATGGGCACATCACCAAAAACAATAGTACTGCCAACTCGGAGCAACATAGGCTTTTCAGAACAAGAGTTGCAAACACTCACTGGGAGTGATAATTTTTTTAGAGGGAGCTTGAAATAGGAAGCCCAGCACTGTGTTTCATTCGATTCTGAGGGTTACCAGGGTTGAACACCAAGTCCTTGGGAGCATGGGTCATCCACTCACGAAAATTTCGATTCACCGAACGTCGTTTCTGCACTTAAAATGTCGCAAGCTTTTCCAGCTATGTGCACCTTGCTACAAAGAAGTTGTTTTGGATTTCTGCATCAAGCATAGTTTTTGACTGTGCCACACCTTGGGCTTGGTCAAAAGCTGCTGCACCAGCGCGATGTCTGGCCTACCAAATGGGTACATGCCAAACATACCTAATGTTATGGCAATGGTATGGCAGATTCATGGCAAAATCAGATTTCAGTGTGGATATGGTATATATACCTATACATAGGCAATATATGATATGTGGGTCTGACAGTAGAGTATCTTGATAGAGAAGATTAGGTCTTTAACCAGTTGATTTTGGGATATCCGATGAAATCGGACAGCTGGTTCATTCGAACAAAATGGAGTGCCGGAGATTGGATTCCCTAGAAACTTGATTACCCTCTGGTAAACATACAAAAAACTATCTAAAGATCCAGCATTTTTAATGGGAAAACTCACTATAAATGGCCATGTTCAATAGCTATGTTAAATTACCAGAGGGTAACGATTACTAATGGCTACTTGCCACATCTGCAAAATCTGGCAAATGGGATCTAGACTTAACAATTCTCCTGGTTTCAAAATGGATACGGAGGTGGGTATGACTGGTACATACTGGTATATATTCAGTCGGCAAATTGCCAAAGTGGATGGTGCATTTCACGGAATTCACTGATGAAAAACATTGAAAAGCGATACAGTACATGTTCCATGTTCCATTGCGAGTATTGAATACACACTCTTACTTTTTGGTTGATTCCATTGAAATTCTGGTTGGGAAACATGGTTTTTGCTTTGTCATGGATTCTACATGCGTGACCATGATGACATTTTTTTTTAAAAAAAAGAAGATTATTCAAGGGCAACCGCGGCAGGGACTTGCATTATGACATCATTGTCATTGGGAGGTCAAATTTTGCAGCTCCCATACTCATTGTCCTTAAGCAATTGGAAGCAATGGTTACTTCAAAAAGTGCTGCAAAGGTTTGAAGTCATTTAAAAAAATGACCTGAAAAATAATTTTTGATACTTCAAAAAGCAATGGTTTGTGTTGAAGTACCCGCCTTTTAAGGCACCGAATTGTTGTCACTGAGACTGGCACTCATCAGCCGACATGCATTCCACCAGTGCATTCTCCTCAGAATCAACTGCCAAGGATTCACAAGCCCCGATTCACAAACCAGGTGGATTAATAAGTTCATAACCCATAAGAATAGTCCATTATATAATAACCCATGGTGGATTAATAACCTATTATAATCCATAATAATCCATAATAATTCATTCCATAATAACCCATAATATTCCATAATAACCCATAATAATCCATAATAACCCATAATAACCCATAAGAATCCAACATTAACCAGCCAGCGATTTCTGTTTGATCTGCTGGTGGCACGTTGGGATCCCGGCGTTGTTGGCCGCCCACAAGTGGTCTGGATGACCCTTCACGGCCAATGCCCTGGGCGCGAAAAGCATAGGATTTTATGGTGGTTTAATGGGATCTAGTGGGATTTATAGTGATTTAATGGGATTTTATAGTGATTTAATGGGATTTAATGGGATTTAATGGGATTTTATAGTGATTTAATGTGATTTAATGGGACTTTATAGTGATTTAATGGGATCTTGTGACTTCTAATGGGATTTACCCTCTGGTAAACGTTTACATAGCTGTAGAACATCACCATGTTTACTGGGTAAATCAACGATTTCTATGGCCATTTTCAATAGCAAACTGTTAAATTACCAGAGGGTATCTGCCATAATTTGGATATCCTAGGGATATGACATGGGATATGATATGGGATATGATATGGGATGTGATATGGGACGTAATGTGGGATATGATAATGAAATTTCTCAGCATCGACACTAAAGAGCCCCTCCACGGAACTCGAAACAATGCCCCTTTCAAATGGGCAAAAACACCTCCTCCATAGCCTGAACATCATGTTCATTTGATATCATCCAAATATCATCCAGATATCATCCACTCAATGGCCACTTCAGGAACTTAAATTGGAGGTACCTACCATAGAAAAAAGGCCTATTTTTCAGGCCTAAATTTCAGGGAATATCCCCACAATTCATATGGCCTTATATGGTACTAATGTACCTCCATTTTAGGATCCTGGAGATCTCCCATTGATCCACATATCATTCAGATGTCACCAGATCTCCGACAGAACTACCAGGATCAGAACAATTAGCCCCCGCTACTGGCTACCGGACTCGTCCCAAAAGGATCTAGGCTTCTCCTGGCGAGATGTGATGAAATACATAAACCATATATGGGGCCTCACACATATGTATATATATATATATCCATATATAATCAGATATAATCACATATCATCAATTATAATCAAATATAATCACACACATATATAACTGGTTGGTGGTATACCTACCCCTCTGAAAAATATGACTTCGTCAGTTGGGATGATGACATTCCCAACATATGGAAAAATGAAAGCCACGTTCCAAACCACCAATCAGTAAATGTCAACAAACAATCCCCCAGGTCTAATTCATGGATTTGTTCTGGAACATCTGATGTTTTAAAACCAAGGTGGCTCACTGGGAAATCGCTGAACTGAATGAATAACTGGGGAAAATCATCAATAAATGGTGGATTGTCCATTGCCACGTTTGATTACTATAGGGTACAACAAATTTCTACACACACAATCGCCCAAGTCAGGGTTATATGACTTTGTTTTTATTGGTACCATATATCCATTCTCAATTGAAGAATTGTTTGCACAAGTAAATACCTATCCATGTCTGGTAAAATTACGGCCTTTGTTTACTGGGTTTTAAAAAAAAAAGTTACGACACTACGAATTCTTGACAGCCAATCTCTTGGTCTCGCGCCACAGTTCTCTTCGTTCTGTGTTTTCGAGATTGGGGTACCCAAAAAACATTGGCAATTGAAAACCCGTTGGATTGGGATGAAAAGCGTTTTTCATAAAAGCCAAAATCTCATCATGAAATGACAAACCCATATGCGAACCATGGTGCTGGAATATTTACCAACATTAGCCCTAAAATCACCCAAATGTAGGTAAATATACCATACATGGAACATATGACAAATGTTGGATTTGGGGGTCCACAGATGTCCGACCAGGCCGCACCTGCACTTTCTCCTGTACCGGCCACGCCGGCGTGAACGGTGAGGTGATAACTTAGATACCCTGGTGATAGAAAATATCCGTCATCAAACATGGTAAAACATGTTAAAACTGTGTAAAAACAGTTTAAAACATTATAAAACTATACATTTCTAAGTTTTCACTTTCAGGTGACGATCTTTTTCCATGCCAACTTTCGTTGTTTCTCAGTTTTCCAAAACGCCCGCGACGTGCCAACTTTCGTCTTCGCCGTACCTCCTCCTCGTCCTTCAGCCGGGGGTAACCTTTGTGGGCGCACCAATTCGCCAAGACCTGGGCCGCGATGGGACCACCAACCGTGAATTTCCGGAGCAACGAGTGGCAATTTTTTGAGGGGAAAAAACGTTGTTTTAGGTTTTTTTTTTAAATCATCAGATTGAATGGGAAAATGATATAAATATGTCATAATATGTCATGGTTTGGGAAAAGAAGAACATGTTCGGTGGTTGTTTTGACGAACAATACATGGAAAAATTCGTTTCGGCAATGGATCCGGTGGCCTTTTCCCGATGCCTCGCTGCGACCAGACATGGCTCTCTTGTGCCCAAATCTCTTCGGAATGTTTGAATACACCCATCCGCTTGAAATACCCTCTGGTTATATAACATAGCCATGGTATAGATGGCCCATAGAAATAGATGATTTTCCTATTAAAACCTCCATGTATAAGGGATTTTCCATGGCTATGTTACATAACCAGATGGTAATTACAAACGCGTTGGTTGAAACACGTCAATGATTTTTCCTGATCACTAAACCGACTTTCTGAGAAAACTTGGGGGGCACCAAAAAATGATCATCCGAGATCATCCACTTATTGAGCTCAATAAGGTTTCCCCTTTTCAAAGGGAATACCCGGCCTGGTCAACGTTAACAAAAAACGATGGAAAGATCCACCATGTTTAATAGGTAAATCAACGAACTCAATGGGCCATGGCTTCAAGTTCGCAAACTGTAAGAAATGACCAGAGGGTAAATCCAGATTATTCGCCAAAGAGAACTGATGCTTATTCCATTGATATTCCCAGATTTATAGATGTTCCAATGTTCCAATGATGTAGAAATTTTAATGAGGTTTTACATTCCCACGGTTTATTCCATTTGATATTTCCAATATAATTGAATCAGGTTGAATCTAAATTAATATCAATGGGATATTCCATTTAATATCATATAGATTAATTGATCCATTGGAATATTAATGGATCTAAATTATATAGATATTGGAATATTAATGGAATATCAATGGATCAATGGAATATACCCTCTGGTAAATAAACCTAGACCCTGAAAATAGCCAATTTTTAATGGAAACTAGTCTCCCAACCCCGTTTTCTGCCGGGGTCTATGTTAATTTACCAGAGGGTAGATCTATATTTCCATGGATATTCCAATGTTGCCATGGAGATTTCCCACCCAAAATTTGGAATTCACCTCCACCCATCATTCGCCCTAAGTTGCGGACGGCTAGAGGGAGCACCTGGTGAACCAACGGTGGCCGAAGTTCGTGTGACGTTTTGCCGCGGGGATTCTATACAAAAGTGTCGAACATATTCTACAATATTACTCTAAATGGTAGGAATTACACTGGGCATTTTTTTCTATCAACCTACTTGTTGGTTGCTCGATTTTGGTGGCAAGTTCTTCACCCACCAGTTCCATCTCCACCCAGCCATTCTTTGTCATCCCATCTATCCCCCTGATTCATAAATACATCTGTGCATATCCGTGTATATATATATATACACACACAGCAAGCCCGAAAAAAACAGAAAAGGTAAAAATCCCAATAAAATAGTGATGAAGTATTACGTTTCTATCTTTTTTGTGATGACTAGTATATACATACTTACATACCTACGAGTATCATGGTGTTTACGTATGCCATTTAGCCTAGACCTATTGTTCTTCACTTTATAATGTGTGATTTACCATCTGGTTATTTAACATAGCCATGGAAAATCACCATTTTTAATAGGTAAAAGTCTATAAATGGTCCATTTCCCAAGGCTATGTTAAATAACCAAAGGGTAAAATTTGCCCAAGGAAATCAATTACGCTTCTACCTTATCGGGCATTACTATTCTCCGCCGACCCCAGCATCAGGACTATTGGCAGAATATATGTCAGGGTAATTGTCCAAGCATGTGGGAAATTGAGGTACAATACATGTCACAGTATTGCGGTGAGGATGGGGGGCTCAAAGGAAGGAAGGATTTTTTTCAAAATGGTATATAGATGGTTTACCCATCTATTTCTATGGTTCACTTCTGATATTATATGATATTATATACCATTTATCAACTCCCTGTTCTTATGATTTCTTATGTGCCAGCAAGAAACAGACCAGACGGAATCATACGGAATCATACGGAATCATTCGGATCAGTTCCGTTCAAGTCACAAAGTGAACAGAAGACGCAGCTTCCGGTTTGTTGACTTCCATGCACAGGATCAACACCAACACCAACAACAACAACAACAACAACAACAACAACAACCAACAACACCAGCAGCAGCAGCAGCAGCAGCAGGAGTAATAGCAACAACAACAGCCCTTGTGGCATCGCCGATGTGCCAAGCTCTACAATATATGTGATATGTGTATATATATATAATGTGTATGATGTCTGTGTCAGTATCCCAACGATTTCCAAATATCAAGCCCGTCAACCAAGCACACCGAGCACAAGTAGATGATGGGAAACCCTCAAGTAACTCGACCCAACCACCAGTTCCGTTTCCACCAGACCTTGCGCACCACGCGCACGCTCTTCCTGGACGCGCGCGCGGCCGCGGGGCTCGTCGGAGGGCTCTGACTCTTCGACGGGCTGGTGCCGGGAGCTGCTCGGGAGGCGCGAGAGCCTGGTTGAACCAAGGTGGATATGCATAATGTGCGTGTGTCATGCTGAGATAGTATTGGAATATATACATAATATATATATATACATACATATGTATATATATATATATACATATATGTATATGTGTGTGTGTGTCTGTTTTAATTTATATTGGATTTGGATTTATCTACATGTATGCCATATACATAATGTATGTGTATATATATACCAGACAAAACCAAACATGGACAGACATGCATAGGCAGCTCAATGGCATTCTTTGTGAATCTGCATACCATTCATACCCCCCCATCCGACATCCGACGCCTTCCTTGCTTGCTGGCGCCTGAAAAGGGGGCCATCGAAAATATCGGAAAATGATGGAAAACCCGTGTGTTTCAATAGTGTCCCTCTTTTTTCATCAACCAACCAATGGGAAAAGGACATCTATGGTGTGTTTGAGGTATATTATATCATTTCAAGATATTTCAATGCATACTCATATGATTTGCCAGAGGACAAAAGTAAAGACCCTGTGACGAAAATGGATCCATACTGCTCTGACCGTGAATTGTTTGGGGCCACGCATCACACATTGATGGTATCGTGGTGAAAACTCTGGTACTAGGGGATTGTTTTCTGAATTTCCCTCAGCTTGCTGATTCTTAACCCTTGCTACAGCCTCAACTTGTGGTCGCCCTTTGGGGAGGTACCGAAGAGATTTCCATCATTGCAAGTAGAACTCCCTGGGCCCCAACCCAAACCACTAGCGAACATGGTGGTCTGTTTCAGACCAACCAGGATTCTGAACCAGGTGACTATAGTGATTCAGACTAACCCAAAACTACCAACACAAAGCACAACACAACACGGGACCCCTTAAAGGAGGCCCTAAACTGGCCATTCAGACCCCTCCGGTTCACCTTGGCGATCCTCGGAGATTGCAGAGAACCCAGGACGTGGAGAAAAACGACAGTCATCCCGAGTCATCCCTAGATGGAAAAGTAAATAATTCACCATCAAATTACTAGGGATTTACTTAGTCACATCTATTTGGAGATGACTCTATATATATATATAATGTTATATATATAATTATATATATATGTATAAATGGAATCCTAATCGTTCATGCATTGATTTAAGGCAAAGTCTACAGGAAAACATGGCTGTGACTGCCACCCAGTTGTGGCGGTCACATCCCCATCTTTGGGGGCACCCATCCAGCTGTTGCTTGAAATACTGTGCAATTTGGCTGCTTACCATCCAGCTTTCGTTGACATCCCATGTGCTTCCTCAGCAAACTCTCTAAAAGTTGTGTTTGTCCATTGGAATTCAAGTCCTGTTTTCGTTGCATTCTTGTTGCTGCAAATCCAATCTTGTTCAAATTCCAGCCTACAGTACTATTGTTGCTTAGGATCCCATTTTGGTCACTTCGATTGAAGGAAAAAATTACGAGAACCTCCTCATCTAGCGTAAAACATGCAAAGACCATTAAAAACAGTCCATCCTGGATGTCTTAATTGGGGTACAACTCGGCATGACCTGTACAACCATCATTGATCTCTCCATGTATCAATCATCGGCAATACATGTTTACCCGCTGGTAATTTAACATAACTATGGAAAATCACCGTTTTGAATGGGTAAATCAACTACGTATTTCTATGGCCATGTTCAATAGTTATGTTGACACAACCAGAGGGTAATCTCCCTGACCCTGACGTCGGCCATCACCGAGACTCTGATCAAAGACCGTGTCCGGATCCGCAATGGGAAAGCCCAGTTTCTCGCCGGAACCCAGTGGAAAAAGCGCCCAGAAAATCCCAGATGTGGTGCTCCCCGATCCACCCCGTTTTTTGGGAAAATGGGCATTTATAGAGATAGAATTCTCAAGTTTCCCAGCCCATCAAAGTGGCAAACTCTTTTACCTACCAGTACCATGGGTAGTACATGGTAGTACCATGGGTTTCACCCCTGAAAAATGGAATATGCTGAATCCTCAAAAATGAGAATCATGGGATATATCTGAAGTGATGGCAATCTTCGAAAGATCCTGATGGACTCCTGGCTGAATTATTGGGAAATTCCCATCTTGAAAAACGGACCCCACACGGACGGATTTTGGTCCAAAACAGTGAGATTTTTGGGACTTTGACCCAGCTGGTGAAGCGATCTAAGAAGGCAACGGAAAGAGTGATGTAACATGATGTAACAACCGTTACCAACTGGTGGGTAACCGAAGATTCTTCACCATCTCAACCAAAATAAGTTAATAAGCCTGGGCAGCCTGGTCAAATTTGGAGAAATAACATAAAATATCTACATTCGCTCATATGAATCAACTTCAAAGATTGTTCACCTGTTTACACACTTCAAAACTGGATGGATTTGTTGATTTTGTTGGCAATTTTGCGGAAATAAAACCTCAAATCCAATTCCCATGATTTCCGTTTCGGAGAAGATCAATCACCATTTGAAAGATGAACTTTCACCATGGAATTTACTGTACCCTCCGGCGTCATCAAAGGTTCATCAAAGGTGGCTCGAGAATCCACTACAAATGGAGCTTTATAGCTGGGAAGATCAACCATAAATGGTGGATTTTCAATTGCCATGTTTGACTATAGCAGGGTAACCATGGTGATTAGTTGATATGTTCAACTTTTGATATGTTCAACTTTTCAGCAGGGTAACCATGGTGATTATTTGATATGTTCAACTTTTGCGATTCATGACTGGGTGATTGCCATGGATCCTACCACAAGGAGTCCGCTCCTGCAGCCGTTGGTGAGCTTCTTTGAAATCCTGAAAAAACAGAGTTCGGAAGAACACGAAAACTTCGCCAGGGTGTATGCCATAATTAATATTAATTAATAGGGTTTCAACATGTTTCAACCATCCAAGGTGGTGCAGGATTTCTCAACCATCCACAGTATCAGATATCATTCTTGTTTTGAAACATGTCGCCTAGAAACTGACGATCTCTGACGAATACTTGGATACGAACAACCCCGCTTTCGCTGGCTTGGATCCACAGCCCGTGTGGCCCCAAGTAAGTGGTCCGTAAGGTTTGGGTTGACACTGCTGAATGCGGGGAACTGATTGGTAAAATGGTTGTATCATGTTGTATCATTGGAAATTGTCCCTCCTGTTCATTGTATACCATTGTCTGAAACTTCAAGGATCTTCAAGGGGGGTCTGTTTGGTAATGATCTTAAAGAGCATTGAATATCGAATATCCCTAATTTTTGTCATGAGGACAACTCATAGAACGCTTTTTTAAAACATCAGGACTAAAGTCAGGCTCGCTGAGGCCATGGAATCTGCTTGGATTGGCGATCACCAGGATCCATTGAATCCATCTTGGGCAGTGGTGAATCGAACTTCAGGCAGTGTGTCAAAACCAAACCTTGTACCCCTGTATTTTCTTCACATCAAGTCATAGCTGGGTTAAAATGGATGTGTTCATAACCCCCTAAAAATTAGGTATGAAATCATAGGTATTGATCCATAGCCAGGTTTCTACAAGATCCAGTCATCGACTCAACCTCCCAGCAAAAAACTGCCGATGTCCAACGAATTGCATCATGAAGACACCCTCCACTTAACGATCTTTAGACAACTCCTTCGAAAAGAACCCCTTTGTCATTCCAGTTACCGGTAATCCTGATTTGGTTAAGAACCCAGCTTCGTGAAAATGGAGTATGAATCTGGGTAAATATGCGAAAATTATAGTAATTCAGTAACCTGAAATGTTCAGCCATTTTGGGATGGTTCCTCTTATTAATTAAGCATGATTCCAGGCTTCGGGAGACCAGTGAGGTCGTGATCAAATTTACCCAGATGAGGCTATAATGGGATGAATTGGGAATATAGTGACAACATGTGACAACTGAGAATATGAATGATTTTCACAAAATGCAATAATTATTGATCATGACAAATAACTATGACTATGACTATCACCAATAACTAGTGATATTTCATCAATTCACTGGGTAAATAACTATGACAATACCGATAATTTACCCAGATGAATGACGTCATGATCTCCAATATCTGCCCCTCGTAAGGCGAGGCACATCAATGTCAAGCTCCGTGGGAGGAACCCAAACTTCTTCAGTTTCGATCCTCAGCTCCTGGGTGAGGAAAATCTGAACCCGTCTGAACCCCGGAAACTCTGGGTGTTTTCCCATGGGAAATATGGAGGAAACTATGGGTTTTCCCATGAAATACTGCAAATGCAATTTCAGCCATATTTCCCGCAAACCAACCCAATGATAAGAGTCGCAAATCGTCACAAGCTGAAATAACCAGTGAAAGGTCAAAGGTCCAGAAACATCAATATTATGCAATGATATACCCTCTGGTAAACATTTAAATAAACTATGGAAAGATCCACCAATGTTTTTGTGGGAAAATCCACTATAAATCACCATGTTCAATGAGTAGTTTACCCTCTGGTAATTTTACGTAGCTATTGAAAATGGCCATTAATAGTGGATTTTCCCATTAAAAATGGTGATTTTCCATAGCTATGTTAGTCATTACCAGAGGGTAGATAGTGTGGCAAACTACATATGCCGTGTATTGCCCTGCTGGCTGGCTTTGGTTCATTGGTGCTTCGGACATGGACCTGAATCGACCTGTGGGAGTAAATTGGATCCATTTTTCGCAGAACTGCCAGGGTTTTTGGAGACGTCCTGGGTTCCTGGTTCACAACTCGAAGTATTGTTAGTGATAACCAGGAGTGTATGGTATCATTTTATCTAACAATACTTCGATATAAAATGATACAGGGATATTTCTTGGTATCCTTTATATCATGTTATATCCCTGTATCCTTTATCCAAATTCTAGGCAGATTATCCAAAAAGATGGTACCGGAGTGATGGAGTGAAACTCGGTGAATTAGAATTCAGACCGGCTTTCGTGGGGTTTGTTTGAAAATTTGAAAATCGGTTCCACCAATTCCATCCCATATACCATAAACATCCATAAGCTGTTCCCATTAAATAGCCATGAAACCACCATTGGTTACGACATCGGCTCCTTCTCTTTCTCTTTGGCTACTTTGCTTAAGGCCTCGGAGAGATGCCATCTTGCTGTTTACCCATGGTGAGCAAAAGGAAGCAAGATTCAACCAGCAAAAAGTGGGGATATAACCAATATAAAACCAGCAAAAAATGTGGATTTAATGGATATAACTTTGATATAACCAACAAAAACTGGGGATTTACTGGAACCACTGATGATACCACTGATAATTAGTAACTGCTTGGTGTTCCTGGGGTTAGGCCCAATCAAAGCTGGGACAAACCACGAAGTGGGAACAAAAATGATCAACACCGATCGGATCTGTGGCATGATCAATCCATATTCAGGTCAGAAACTTATCCCAAGATGAAAGTCAACCGGGATTATCATCTCAAGTTTGATAGAAAAACCATGAAAAACCAACAAATATCAACAAGTAAACACAAACTACCTACCAGACAAGGAACTGCCTGAAAAATACCATAGAATGACAATTTGCCCCGATCAAAAAGCAGATATTGGCCAATGAGTATAGCAACAATCTTCGAGACGTTTCGGGTGACCCTTGAAACCTGGACGATCCAATCCAACCTGGAAAATTCACCTTACCTGGCAGTGCCCCTGGTCGTATCCCCTGGGTTCCAACGGATTTCAAAAATCCAATCGAAATTGAAATTGAACGATAGAAAAAAGAAGTTGGATCATTTTGACCATCTTCTTTAAAGACGAAAACAAGAAAAGATCTGGGGATAACGAACATTTTAAGGTGGGATCATTTGACCATCTACAGCCCAAACAATCTGTCAGAAGATCCCAAATCTGCAGCGCTGTGTTGGGCTCCGAACGGCTTGCTCCTCATCAGATTCACTCTCAAAGCCTAGGTCTTGCCATTGGTGCAGGGTACTTCTGGGGAAAATGGAGGGATTTTGGAGGTTCCAAAGATTTCCAAAGCATAGGATGTGTGGATTTTCCCAGCGAAAATTCCCCCATGGCTGATTTTCCAGCCACGGCACTGATGACACCGTCGACTGCTGGGGCAGTTTTGTGATGGATCTCTGATTGGACTATTGGGGGCAACACTGTCCAACATGAAAGATGACCAGCCTGAAACACCTCCTGACAAGACACTGCAGCACCACTTGGTCTTAACTCCAAGGGAAAAATGTAAGGTTTCGGCCAGGGACCAGGGGAACACCAAGCGTTTGTGGCTATTTGTTCTCCGATTCCGGATACTGTACCTCTGCTTATTATGCGCCCAGTATCGATGATGCCATTATATTGATCAACTACACCAAGCGCAGAAAATCCGGTCAAAAAGATTCAAAAAGGACATCTCATCAAGATTGAAGAGCTCAAAATTGGGAAAGTTCAAGGCAAGAGCGCCCAATCAAGCGCCAGTCGTCATGTTTCATGGCTGCATCTGCACGAGTACATTGTCCAAGACTTGATGTTGTCTACTGCTTGGTTGACAGGGTTTCCACAAAACAGTTGAGCTATATAACCTTTCCAATGTAAGATACCCTGCAAAGAATAGATAAGTCTTTAGCTGGATGTCAAAAAATATCAACATTTATGGCAAAAAGATGAGGGGTCGGACTCAACTGCCCATCGAGTTGGTTGACCAATAAGCACAGCCCTCACCACAAAGGTTTGCACAGCCTGATACCTCCTGAGTTCCCAGACTCTCCTCCTCCATATCATCGTCATAGCCCAGCTTTTCCTCAGCAGCGCATTTCAACGCCCAAACCAGCTGGATCAGTATATTCCTTCCACTTCCAGCCAATAATTTCTTGGGCAAGGTCAACCCCGGATTAACAAACTATGGCTTATTAGTGATAGGCAGCCAATATTTAGATTATATTTATTGGATGTTGTTTTTCTCCGTCCATTTTTGAAGACTTCTTGATATCTGGTTTTGTCTGAAATTTGGGTGGAATCATCCTCCCCTTAAGTAGCTTGAAAACAAAAAAAACTCTTCGGAACTATTTGCCAGGAAGGTTACATGTTTCTATGGTCCCTAGTGTTTTTGATTGATACCCATAGATTCTTCTTGGTGATATGGCGTCAACATGTCCAATGACTACTATCCCACTACTGTCCCCATTGTTATTCGACATTCACATACATATTTATAACTATATACCAACAATGTATAAATATGATATACCAACTTATACATATTTATAACTACCTTTCTGTCCATTATAATGACTACTATACTTGTTGTCCATGTTTATATGGACCGAAGTCCCCAAAAAGAATACCAACAATGTTTTCAGGATGATGTAGTTGATTTTACCTCTTAATTTCCAGGTGTCCAACTCTTCAACTACTACTTTGGGTTGCTATATCCCATATTATCTTATAGATATATTTATATATATATACTCTCCAGTAGTGAATCACATGGTTTGAATATAGATTATGGGTATTGTAGTGTTGCTCTTTAGTGGATATATATATATATAATATCCACTACTGTCCCATATTATAAACTCATGGTTTTCATGGAAATCTCTTATTTAGTTCCATGAGTTTTGCCCTTTCAACACCTCCATGTACGGGATCCAACCCAAATCCTTCGGCCGCTGGAGAAAAATGTGGGAGCCCCGACCAGTCGCAAGGCGCGGATCAGATCAATGAGCGCTTTCAGATGCTGCACCTGGGTAGGGTCTCCACAGTCATGGCCACCAGTTGTAGGTCAGTTATAAGCCCATTGATGGAATGACCTGTGTAATCAATGGGAGATCTCCAGGATCCTAAAATGGAGGTACGTTAGTACCATATTTTTGGCCATATTTCGGGTGGATATTCCCTTAAATTTAGGCCTTATATATGGTAGGTACCTCCATTTTAGGATCCTGAAATGGCCATTGATGTAACCATTTCTTGCCATTTATAACTAGTTTCTAGGGCACTGCAAGTCTCTAAACTGCTTTCTGCTCCAACAAAGAATGGCAAAATAGGTCAAAAGTGAATGGGATCATGGGTAGATCATCATATAAATAACTATAAATATATATATATATAAATGGGATACCAAAGAAATACAACGAGACCAACATATCGTAAGAAATCTCACTATCTCACTGGGTATCATGGGGATCCAATGGGATGTTTGGGTCCGAAGCTTCGCCGACGCCATGGCATGATAGGCAAAGGATTCGCCCGTGGATTACCGTGAAGCACCCTATCAGTTTTACCCCAAATATGGCAACAATCCCAGTTGATCATGTGGAGTTCTTCGATTGGAAAGCTATTGAAGTTGAAAAACAAGTCACATATCCAGTGACATTGGTGACTAAGTCATCTTGGGGGATTGTTGATGTGATTAATAGGGATGAAATACGTGACGAAACGGTGACACTGGGCAGAATCACTTTTGGCCTATGACGTTCCTATGTGATCAGCTCCCACAGTCCGTCAACTGAGCCAGTTGAACACTTGAGGATTTGGGGAAGGTCAAATCATTTCATACTCCAAGGAATGGGATAGTTAGTATCAAACAGCTATATACCCTCTGGTGAACTAACATAGCTATTGAAAATGGTGATTTATAGTGGATTTTCCCATGAAAAATGGTGATTGTCCATTGCCATGTTAGTATCAAACAGCTATATACTAGATTGTTGTCAGTTGAAACTGCTGGATCTCCAAAATCGGCAGGATTCAGATGCTTAAAATGCTTAAAATGAAATGCGGCAGGATTCGGAGTGCACCAAAATAGATGGAGATCTCACCTCCAAAAATTGCAATATTGAGTTTAGACGGATTTTATCCAAAGGAACAGTGAGTCAGTGAGTGAGCAAGAAGAAAGATGATATTATATATCCGTTTGATCCATCTCTTTGGCGAAATACGGTGGATGGGCCAGCGAAATCCGAATCACCAGTTGATAGGTGGTAAACATCCCATTATCTATACGTAGGGTTTCAACCATCCTTTTGGTGATGCAGGATTTCGCAACCATGCACAGTATTTCCATTGTCCGGGCTGACATCCTGAGGAACTCATTCCCAACTCGGACAAGGTCTGGAACGGACGGAGAACTTGCCCAGCCAGCGACACTAACCATTCCAAGGATACGTCTCCGGAGGGTTTGCCCGAAAAATGGTTGCTATATCCCAACTTTCGGTCAGTTGTTCACGGGAAAATGCTGATCAACCAATCGATTTGGGCGGGGCATGCCCCATTTTCAGACAAGCACACATGGGGCATGCCGATATCTCTTGGTTCCATTGGTTCGTAATTGGGATCTCATTCCAGGTGAATCACTATATCCCTCAAGAGAAAAAGGTTCAAATCAAAACTGACCAACATGTGTGGGTCCATGGGTCCTAAGTTTTCACCGTCACCATGATTCTCGGTTTCCCACCACCAGTGTCGGTCCGATCCCCAACGAAACGTTGCTCATGGTCCTTGCCCGGGAGACCCCGACAATCAGATTGGTCTCTTGCGGCCACAGTTTGGTGTCCTCAGCGGCGATTTTTTGTTGCTGGAGATATACCAAGATCATTGTTCGTTGTAAATTAGCCTCTGGTAAACTAACAGCTTGCTATTGAAAATGGCCATTTGTAGTGGATTCTCCCATTAAAAATTGTGATTTTCCATAGTTTTTTGTATGTTTACCAGAGGGTATGTTTCACTTGGTGCCGGATCTATGCCATTTAGGTGCAGAAGAAATGTGGGCGCACCCAATTTTCTGTTTGAAAGTGTGGTTCTGAAAATAAAAAAACCCTCTGGTTATGACTAACAGTTCGCCATGGTATAGATGACTCTAATCGAAATAGATGTGTTTGAATGATTTACCTATTAATAGCATGGTGATTCTCCAGTTCGCAAACCGTTAGTCATAACCATTTTGGGTAATCACTATTATCCCACTATTAACCACTATTAATCATCCATATGGACTATTATCCACCATGGTTATTATATAATGGACCATTTTTAATAGGCCAGGGACATCCCATCTGTGAACCATGTTGACAGCCATCTGTGAACCGCTTCTCAGCTTCCAGCAGCTCCCCAGTGGGCCACATGCGCCTGCAAGCCATTGGAAAAAAATATTGGGGCCGACTTTAAGCATCAAGAATGATATGGGACTTTAATGAAAGTTCATTGAAATTCATGGATGTCAATAGAATTTCATGGACTTTGATGGGATTTCATAGGGATGCAGATGGGATATATGATGGTTTACCCGCTGTTTTTATGTTTAGCAGGTTTAGAAGTCTCCTAAATGTGACAATGATAGGAGATGTTTCCAACAATATCTTATCATGATGTTATATCACTAAGATGATAAGGTATGTTTCCAACATGATAGGAGATGTTTCCAACATAATAGGGTTTCCAACAATAGGAGATATGATGTTGGAAATCATCCCTATTATCACTCTTAAATGATCCCTGTTAGTTGATTCTTGGAAACATCTCCGGATATTTTCACCAGAGATGGCACTTAAAAGCAATCAACTACTAGGGAGAGCAGTTTTATTAGGGATGACAGGGGTGTAAAATCATATGATAATAGGGATAATACTAGGGTATAAAGTCTAAACTAATAACCAATCAACCAAGAATAGGGGTGGATATCTATTTTGAGACCCACATCCGATTGGGACACGTCTTTTACTTATAGCAATTGTATTAATCAATAATCCTATATGTGTTTTTTCGAGAAACACAAAACAAAAAAGAAACGGAAAAAAAATCGAACAACATATTGTTTTCGAAAAAATCTAGGATTCTCCTTATTGTTTTCGAAAAAATCGATCATCTCCTCTAATATCATTGGGCACTTGCCCCTTACGCCATCGCGGTAAATCATCCGCTGCGGGACGCCTGTGGGAACAGCTGCCGCGCATGTTGCATGACCTCGAACTCAGCTGATGAAATACCGCATTGGTACCCTCTGGTAAACTAACAGTTTGCTATTGAAAAATGGCCATTGATAGTTAATTTTCCCATTAAAAATGATGATGTTCCATAGTTATACCATTTTCAATCGGTAAATCCACTGTTTCTATGGCCATTTTCAATAGCAAACTGTTAGTCATTACCAGAGGGTAATTGGTACTCCATGATTTTCCATGAAACTATGCAGCCATTGGAATTTTTCCCCATAACTATGGAAACTCCCATTGGATGTGGGGGATATGATATTCAACCAGCAATATTCGGTAATGCGTGGGATGATGCAGAGCCTCCTTCATGGATTCTGAAGCACAACACCAAGAAACAAACGCGTCGGCTTTCACTTGTCACATTCAAAATCACCTCAACACCATCTCAGGCGTGTTGCCCATTGAAAATATCTACATGTTTTTTCCCCAGGTTTTTTGGGGTCTCTGAGATCGAAGCAAATTTGAAGCTGGGGCCCAGATCGATGAAGTCCTTATGGCACTTCAAGAAGCGTTCCTGCAGATTCTCCACCACCCTCAGACCAGGCGGCGAACACACAGAGTCGAGGTGCCAATTCCAACTATCCCCGAAGTGGATGACCGGACCATTTATATGAAACCCTTAATCTATATCCGGGGTAAGTAAAAATCCATGGTTTCGGGTGGTGTTTTTTACGCAACACCACTCCGTTGAAATAACAATCTCAAGACCCCAACGAGGACTTGGGATGAAATGAATGAAACTGAGACATGATTCGCAACAAGCATGTATCAATGTCTCACATATTATGTATATCTAAGAAGAAAAAACCTCCAGCAACCTCCAGCAACAGTCAAACTTCACACTCGGATCTGAGAAGCAAGCTGCCAGAGAGGACACGCCTGATGGGTCTTCATGGCATGACCGGCTGAAATTTGCCACAAAATATGGGATGAAGCATCCTAAATCCCAGCTACTTCGGTAGGAGGGGGTGTTGTTTCATCTGACTCTCCTCTTCACATCCTTGTGATCAGAATTGCACGGCCCCTTGCAGGTGGTTTATAGGTGTTCAAAGGTTTAAAACCTTACAGTATGACTATGACATGATTATGATACCATGTTTCAGAACATAAACATTGTTAACATTCCATAACATGCCATTACATTCCGCAGCATGCCATAACATCCCACAACTACCAGCTATCTCGATGTTCACCCGGCTCTGTATGAGATCCATGGTGTCTGACAGTCATTCTCACCACTTGAGTAGCACGACTTGTCTCCCACAAGACAGTCCTGTCCATCTGCCTCGTCTGGATTTGTACCATGGAAAATGATCTGTGTCATCGCTTCTCTTTTGGCAAGCTGCTTCTTGTCCTCTGACAGAAGCCCCATTGCCATGCGGAGTTTTCATTGGTAGGAAACAATCTCTAATTTCACCAGAAATGTGATTATGTATACAGTATATATAATATATACATTAATTCTATATATATATTATATTATATTATATTATATTATATATTATATTATATTATATTATATCATATTATATTATATTATATTATATTATATATATATTATATTATATATATATATACATATATTATATTATATATATAGCCCTCCAAAATTGGAGGTTTATTATTGGGTTTGCCACATGACCTGAAATGATGGGGTGAGAAGCCACTGCAATCGCAGTCACCAGGATATAACTGGCCCAATTCTACAAAACAACATGTTTCCAAGAAGTAAGTCCCAACAGCGTTCCTGTTTTCTGGAGAAATTGCCATGTTTCCTTTTTGAAAAGCCAGCGGCTGATTCCCCTACTCCCCAGAATTGATGGCGAGGTCGGCTGCTGAGCCCATTGAATTTCAGATGACCCAGCCACTATCATCACCATTCCCATTGCCATTTTTTCTCTTCCATTTAAGTAGATTATAAACATCTTTTCCATATTTTTCCATGGGATAAGTGGGATTTGTGTATAGACCATTTTTACATATGCTTCCGCATATAACATATATGTGAAAAATGCTGCCTATCCCCCATGGCGCTGGCCCCTAATAGGCCTTCTTGGCATCCGCCAGCACCGCTTCATCTGCCAGCTGCTGCTGCCGCGAGGGCGGTAGCAACTTGCCTTCGGCATCCGGCAGATCTGGCGGCCGCGGGCATTGCTTCAGCACCTGCCCCGGCTGATTTCGGCCGAGTTCACGGGATTTCTTGGGGAAAATGGGACCGTTGAACCATGAAGAATATGGAATCCAATATGGGACTTTAAAGGAATTTCATTCAATTCACTGGACTTTCATGGGACTTTCATGGAGATATGATGGGATGTATAATATGTATATATAGAAAAAATATTATTTTATATATATATATAACTATACATTATAACTATATAACATTATATAACCACCAATTTGGATACCCGAAACGGTGTCACCAAAAGGGGCTGGGAAATCTCCGAACGAGCCATGGAGGTTTAGTTCGGTGTGAAAATCATCGAACTAAATTCTGGATTTTCCATTGCCATGTTTGATTACCGGAGGGTAACTATTGGGTAGTATGGGAGAAGATTGGAATTTAGAGGGATAAACACCAGGGATGACTCTTTTGTTTATGACTTTGTGAAATGGTTCGTAATAATTGTGGGATAATATAGGGATGAATGGATATATCATCTCCATGATGGCTGATTTGACATCCAAAATAGGAAGTTAGGCCACTGCGACTGCAGGCGCGACTGCCAACATTAGACATCAGGGACTGCCAATAGCCTCAGGTCTAGCAGGCGTCAAAATGTCTGCATCCAGCAGGATTAGGCATGTTTGGGTCAGTCTAGATATATAAAAAAGCAGGGAAAAAAAACGGAGGAGGGGTGGGTTCATTTGCGGGTAAAATTTACGAATGATTTCTGAAAAGCAGTTATACTTGGAGGATCGTCCAAGTACTTGGTGAGTAACTGGGGTTACAACCCATTTAAACATGGGACCACACACTGGGGCCTTACTATCGAGGACAACTCGCCGGATACGATCCGTGGAGAAGAATCGACCATAAAAAGTTGTCACTAAAGGTGGGGAATTATGCAGTGTGTCAACATTTTGGGTAATTATATTATAGTATATTGTATTATTTATGCATCAGTTTGTTATGTAGCGACACACTGAAACTTAGAATGCTGCCAAGTTTTCCAAATTTTTGAAAATTGAATTTAGAATGCCGCCAAAAACCCTGTTTTTTAGGGTATTTTAGAATGCCGGCGTGATCACAAAACCAATGCCGGCATTCTAAGTCTACATTACTAAAACGCATCCCCCTGAAAATACCCAGTCAAAACATGCCAAAACCATGATGGAAGTAAAATCTTCTGATCAAACTTAGATGTGATCATATTTCAATAGATCGATGAAACCTGACTAAGAACCAACATCCCAAAAAAAAACATGCAAAATGTGTCGGTAAAACTTGAAAAATAACATCCGTTGTTGGTGAAAATCACAAGATAGATGCCGGCATTCTAAGTCTACATTACTAGAACGCGGCGACCTGGCAATTCCCACTCAAAACCATGATAGAAGGACAATTATATGATAAACAATTCGGTGGGCACGCATTCTAAGATCTCCATTACTAAGATGCCTCGACTGGAAAAACGGGGCAAAAAAATGCAGGACCCCACTTTTTGGCATTTTCCGGCGTTTTTTTTGCAGCGCGCCATTTCCAAAATCGCATTCTAAGTTTCAGTGTGTCGCTATATTATAATATATTATATTATCCATTATATTATGATCCCCAAAAGGATCAAAAAATTGTGTTTTTCCATCATCAAATGGCAGGAACATGGAACATCATTCATTTCCGGGCCAACCCAGAAATGACTGTTTGGAAGCACTGCCTGGGAAGTTTTCACTGGCAGGCTTCGTGGGCATCCGGGCATGATGAATCTACCCCCACAAGTGATAGCATATTTTGGGAGTGTCCCCCGCAGTTTGGAACTACCTGATCCCTGTGCACGTTGAAAGCCACTTGTGATCCAATGCAGGATTACTTCACATGCATCATCACTTCCCAAGAACAAAACTATGTAATGTGGTAAGCCGTAAACCCAATGATGAACCTTGACTTAGAAGAGGAAAGTTCAAGTTCATTTAATTCATTTAATACGACCATTTCTGACAAATTGGGCATGGTTTATCATTGGCAGGTTTACCAGGGCTTACCATGGTTTAACGGTGATCCACATCATGAAAAAACTCCAACCCATTTTCAATACTTAAATCATCCACAAATGTTTGATACTCCCTCATTGTCGATGTTTACCCAACCTGGTTATTTGTTACATAACCATGGTATAGATGGCCCTAATCGATATAGATGGTTTACCGTTTTTAATAGCATGGTGGATCTTTCCATGGCGAACTGGCAATGTCATAACCAGAGGGTAACTTAAATCCCCATGTTCATGAGCAAATATCCCCAGCGTCAAGAAGTCAGCTTGAGTGCTGGCACCACCGGCAAAGCATTGGAGAGTTCTTCGAGGGTTTCTTGATCCTCAGAGATGAAGATTCTCCGTGAAAAGGTGGGGAGACTGCCGCCGACCTGGAATCCTTTGGGCTTTCCCCCGGAATTGATGGGGGGATCAACGAGCTCATTGAATCATGGCAAAAAAAGTATGTGATCATGTGGTGTCGTACATATCTGAACAAAAGAAGTAAAATGATGGATCTGGCTATGGATCAAATCTTAGAATTGGTTTCAAGATTAAAAAAAATGTGACGTATCTGGTTCCATCATATCCTCCAAAAGAACTAGCTATATTTTGGGTCAGGTTGGGAGAGTCAACTACTTACAGCCTCAATCATCTCATTATTAGGGATAAAAACATGTTTGAAACCACCAACCACGTATATAGCAGTTCTGTTCCCATGTTATCCCCGTTGACACCCACTATCATTGGTAGGGAATATATTTCCTTAGTTTCTTATCAACTCAAGTCTTTCTCTTCATGGCTACATGCCAAGTTTTGCTACTCGTGGCCACGTGCGCAGTTTAAACTCATTAATTCTAGTCATCCCCATGTTGTCTTTTGCTTCCCGTGACTATTCATTGGTCATGTAGCCCCACAAGACCGTCTCGGCACAGGTTTCCTTGCATTTATCGTCCTTCCACCATTTCAAAACTAGCCACGTATGCTGGAGTAAATCCACGTGTTTGCCAGCCCAACTGTCACCCATCCAAAACACAAGAAACATCTGACCCGGCTCGGTAAGCTGAGACCAAGTTTCTAAGAAGGACGCAAGCATTAAACCTCGCTCCTTACCAGTGCATGTGGCCCGCAACCATGGATGATTTGGGCGTGGCTGACAATGGACGATGTGCAAAGATTCTTGGTCGTCATACTAAAGGAAATTATGGTAAACCATCAAATTTTGGGGCTGGCAAACCCATTCATGATCAATCCCGCACTGCCCACACTGCGAAAGCAACGGCGTTCTTGAAGGTTCCCCGCAGCATTCATCATTTTGCTTGGTATCTGGATCAATTTTATTTATTTTGGGGAAAACCATGATCAATTGCATTGTGAAAAGGAACAACTCCGTTTTTTGAAATGCGGGGTTGACGCTGGTTCTTTGCCATGATCATGAAACATCAACCAAGTAGGGGCATCCTTTCTAGGTTGTCACCACACGAAGATGTTCGTGGGTATTTCATTCCACAAGCTTTACATCATGTCCAAACGAACACGGGTTATATTATATATATATGAAAGAGGGCATCTTTCCTGATCGTTTAACGTACTTTTACTCGACCAAGAAAAATGCATTTCGCAATATATATATGTGTGTGTCAACCGGGCGTTGACATATAGATACACCACTATACATGAAAGAGTGGTTCTTGCTGGCTTCGCGGGCGAGCAGCCTGCGGCATTTCCACAAGTCCCAGCCATCAAGGGCCATCAAGCGCCATGGCGAGCAGTTCAAATTGGGAATCTGAACAATGGCCAAGCAAGGCCAACCATGGCCAACCAATAGATTCCGAAGTATCGTAGAAGTAGAAGTTCAGGAGAAAATCACCAAAAGCTGCGGGGCACCACCCCAATGAACAATTACAGTATCAAGCCTTTGGGTGTTAGCCCCCGTCTTGTTTTGTCTAATAACATAGTCCGCGCGTCGTTTCTTGCTGGGTTGCCACTCTCCAACCTGTGAGGCCTGCGATGCCAAATTCAAGCTACGGTACGTTGAATCTCAAGGTCAAAGCGGCTTGGCATTGAGGCCGGCACAACACAAAACTAGAACATCCAGCTGCACACATTCTGAACGAAAATGCAGCTGGTCCAAAATAAAACATGATAACCCAGAAACCCCTCAAGAAATCCGATCGAAACAAGCTAAACAGTAGACGATTCGATCCCCTGACCTCGAAAGACTGATCATGCTTTGGATGAAGCATATTGAGCCCATTTGGGGTGCTCAAAGTTGACCCAAAAACCAGGTGAAAACATGTTCATGATTTGGGGTTTTAAGGTTTTGGCCCACAAATGAAATCAGCTCATTTGTTGGCTCTCAACTTCCCAAGTGTGACCTCTCCTCCTGTAAAATGCCACGTTTTAAAGCCAACATGCTTTTCTCTTGATGAGTACACTTGAAACAATGTGAATTGCAGGACTTCTTCTGTTCATCCTGCAATGTGGAAATGTGAATCCGGGTTTCGAATCCACCTCGCAGCTATTGGGACAGTCTCACAGCATCTGCAGCCTTCTAGACCTGCTTAGCCTTTGAGGCACGTGGGCACAAGATGTGGGTCAAGAATTTTGGGTGCCCGAAAAACAGAATGGATACTGCAGACTTCGGTACTATATCTGGGGGATCAGGCCACAGCACAGAGATGATGTCACCACGAAATCTGGGTGAGTCTACTGGCCAGTGAGTGCACCGAGTTCGGACAGGATCAGCTAAGTGTTCAAAGCATCTCGAGATATTTTCAGTGCACTGCAGAGCAACGCCGGCTACGCCATGCCATGCTCAGCACTTGACTTGGCTCAGGATGAGCACGCTTGAAGTGTTCAGGCTCTCATCGGAAACATCGGTCAGCGCTATTTCTTGAGCACCAACAGCCTGGGACAAGCTTCGGTGAAAATATGTGAAAATCCTGATGGTCCCCAGCATTTAGTGGGTCCCTCACAACAACCTTCGGGCCCCCTCACATAGATGCTCGAAACAGCCCATCTACCGGCTAACAGCTCTGAATTTCCAATCAACTGCCCAAAAACAAGTGGTTTGTAGGGTCGTACTTGGAGGATTATCCCAATAAGTGGTAGTCAGTCTGGTGACTAAGTCCCTTGTAAATGGCTGATCCAATTCATAACTGGGTCAGAACCCACATGCCTTTCGCGGTGACTATTCCGTGGTGTAAACCGATTGTGCTTTCCCGGATTCCGAGCTGGGTGGCCCCACTCCATCAATCCTTGGGCATCGGTGGCAAACTAATAAGAGATGAGGATATATATATATATATGGGTAAATTATAATATTTCACTAACCTGAATTGTTGGGCCATTTGGGGATGATTCCCCTTACTAACCATGATTCCAGGGCTCGGGAGACCAGTGAGGATGTATTCGGATGTATGGGGATGAATGAAGATACATGAGGATGGTATTTTGGGATAGGGATGACTTTCTGTGTGGAAGAACCTGGTGCCATTGGATTGTCTTCAGGACAAGGGGCAGCATGTTGTTCCCACATTTCTACGTGACCATGTCCAGCAAGGAAGGTGGTCAGAAACTGTTTTGGAATGTTTTGGATACCATGACTTTCCTTTCAAACTTCTCATCAAACACAACACCAGGTTTTTTTAAGACTAATTTTTTAAAGCCCCCCACAACAATCCCTCCAACAATTTTTTCAAACATGAATTCAAGGAAAAGTCATTGAGAACTGGGCGATGTGACAAATGGCAAGGCTGTCTTCTTGACTTTTTATACCCTCTGGTAATTTAACAGTTCGCCATGGAAAATGGCCCATAGAAATAGATGGCCCATTTATAGATGGTTTACCGTTCTTAATAGCATGGTGGATCTTTCCGTGGCGAACTGTTAGTCATAACCAGAGGGTATATGTCTTCATTGGATTCATAGATTCAACCCGGCCCGGCACTGCAGGGATCATCCCTAGTCGTGAACGTCACCCCACCAAGCACTGGAAAGTTTGCTGCTCAATTTTTCCGGTACTCAATGAGCAATTTTTCTGTGCCAAAACAGACTTTTTCTGTGACAAAACAGAATTTGTCTGTGCCCAAACAAATAAATTCCTGGTTTTGATGAATATCTTTGGGTGGTATAGAGAGCGCGGCGCTGGTCTAGAAATAACCATCAGAAATCCCTGAAAGGCTTCTTTTCCACAGCAACAAATTTCCGAAGTAATGGCAATATGCAGAATTCCCAAGAAATGTTCATCAAAGATTGGGTTCGCCGCTCATGTGATCCCTGGAAGTTCCAAAATAAAGTTGTCAGGACATTGAGAACACATGTGTTGACGGCGACTAAAAATGGAATGGATGCACCCAATGTGAATGGAATGCAAGCAAGAGAAACTGAGATGTGGGTATGTCTGAAAACAAATTATCTCAAAGCTTGATGGATGATCATGTTTCCCCAACTACAATGGCAATTTTTGGACAAAATGTATGCCCGTTGTTTTAACAAGCCCGTATCACCATTTTGGCAAACCCGGTGTGGGGTCTAATCTAATCCAATTTTCAATAGGTTCTAATCTTTCTATAATCATCTGTATTTACCTAAATCTATATCTTATAAATGGATACATTCATATATGTCTGATATTGTAACTATGATGATCATCGATTATCTATATATGTATCTATGGACTTCTTTATCTGGTGATGTTGCTTTCTTATACCGCATACCTCGCGGTAAGATCTCATCCAGGCTCCCGTGCCAAATACGGATCTGCATGCTCGTAGCCCTAGAGCGTGGCTGCTCCGTGGCTCTTTCGGCTGGTTGGTTAATACTGTGGATGAAAAATCCTGCAACACCATGACTATTTGTTGAAACCCTAAAAAATCATGGGATCAACATCAGTACCCGAGGCATGGCGATTATTTTGTGTCAGAAAGTACCCATCGAGTTGGTTTACCTTAATAAACAATAGAGTTGGGAAGCAGCAAAGTTTCGGGTTTCTCCTCAGGTGGAGATTGAATCAACAGCCATATGTACGAAACCAACAAAGCTGCAGGTTCAACCGACACAGCTGCGGATTTGAATGATGACAGTATTGGCAAAAACCCTGTTGGAACCCCCTTTTGCATTGTAGTGTTTAACCACAGTGACAAAATTCCATATGCAATGTTAACACGTATAGCCTCCAATAGACAGTCTTCGTCATGGGTTTGGGCCAAACGATTATCCTGACAAGAAACAGGAATTGGATGGAAAATGATGGGATTGATGGATATACTCATAAGAATCAGAGACACAGGCATTGGGTACCCCAAAATATGACTTGTAGTTTGCATCATGTTGGAAAATGGGATCTAGCCAACAAGAGTGGGGGGCCATCAAAGGCTTTTGAATGATGAAAGGATATGGCCGGATATGGAAGTCAAGCCAGGGCGCATGACCGTGGTGGCACCGGCAGTGCTCTCTGGATATCTGACATCCAAGTGCGAAATACTTGTATTTAGATCGTCGCACGAAAAAGAAAACAATGACTTTCTCATTTCTACAATATGGATGGGTGTGTTCAAAAATGGGGTAAACCACTATCCCAATGCACTGCAATTTGTATGAGGAAACCACGGAAATGGACTTCGTTCCAGATCAAGCCCCAAATCGTGTTGGTTTCAGTCTTGAGGCTCCCTGCAAGCTCACGCAGGTCGATCAGATTAACCTTGGGAGGCAGCTCCTTTCCGCCAAGCACAGCAGGCCAATTTAGGCCCAGAATGGTCCAGATATCTGGTTTCGGAATGAGACGATGGTCCAATTTGCTTTGGGGACAAGATTGGAAATCAATCTTATGCCTTTCAGAAAAGAGCAGAAGACTTGCTACTGGTCAGGAAAATTTTCAAAAGAAAAGAACTCTGCACACTTGGAATCCCTAAGCCATGAAGCACTAGAACAGTGAGGAACCAAAACCCTTCCAAAGCGCATGGTTTTGGGTGAACATCCAAACTGGCAACTTGCAGACTTGCAACCAACAACTTCCAGTCCTGCTTGATAAGAGCACCGTCTACCGTTGCCATCTGCTCATCTGCTGTATTTGATCCCTGCAAAGAATTCTCCAAAATTGTGTTGACAGAAACAATACTGAGCCACTTGCGATAGTCGTTGCCAAGTACCACACAAGCGTAGTGGTTCTATGTCCACACAACGTCCACGCGATGATCGGCCAAGTCCCCCACATGCCACTTGAATCCAGGATTGTAGTTGGACCAAGTGGTTTTACACCTTGGTCGAACTAAATCTGGCTGAGGATATCCCGTTCCTATCAGGGTGGCTGGACCCTATCCAAACCATTAAAGGATTGGTTGACACCACAAAAAGGCTTGAAACTGCCGGGCCAGGGCCGCGGATCATTCTTTCAAAGGGGATCCTCTTCCAGGAATATCACCATCCTTTTCTCGGATTGTCTCATTGCTTCACACCCAAATGGTGTGTTCTTGTCTCAGCCATCGATGAAATTCCATGAAATTCCAGGTCATCTTGAACTACGTGGATCGAGTTGATTGTTTCGCAGACCTTCGTTGTTTAAAGGCAGGAGTTCTGCTTGATACGTGTATGTGGCCATAGTTGTAGGAGGAGTATTCTAACTTATGAGAGGTATAGCTAATAACCATATAGTTATACCCATGAACGACCTCGGCTGCACTCCCCAGGCACCTGCGCTCGTGCTCAGCGCCATGCGATCCCTAGGTGCGGGATGCAGGCATTGCTTCACTGGGGTAACCATGTTCTATCCCCGCTATATATAATATAGGCAAGATAGGGGTTAGATAGGGCTTAGAAACCACCTATGATGCCTCAAATGAAGATCCAAGCATTGTGGTAGCTGACAAGATCCAAATCTAATCCTAACTCCGCCATCCAATTCTCACCAATTCACAGCTGGCAGTTAAGCCCTAGTCAGAGGTGGACCTGATTTGATACAAACCCGTTGCTCATGATGGCTTCTATACATGAATGTCACTCCATTTATTCCATTCCATTTGGAAACTGATTGGGAACAAAAGGTTGCAATCGCCAAAAATGTTCTGTCCAGCATGGTTTATCCCGTCTTGACTCACCTGCAAGAACTGACATTCACCCAAGGTGATTGTTCCTGCTCCTGCTCTGTTCACAACCGACAGTATCCCGAATGTTGAATGTAGTGCGCAGTCAGTGGGACATGAGATTTATGGACGGTCATCCTGAGGGCCAGACTCCCCAGCTGGCACCTGGCTGATCTGGCTTATGCCTATATAAATCCTTAGGTCTCAGAGAGTGGTACTGGACCGTATTGGGCTTACATCTGATTTTTGATCCTCTGCTTAAAAAAAAACGCAAAGCCCAAGAACTGCACACATGTTTCACGAAATTGCGGAGATCAAACTACAATCCCATGGTAATTCTACCCGGCCAAACGAACGTCCCAAGTGTTGAGGAAGATCATCGAAACAAGTGGTGGATGTTACATTGCCGGGTTTGTTTACCTGGAGATTCATAAGACCAGCACAGGATATTGTTTGCTAGCAAAAGTGAGTCCAAGAACAGTCCATGGCAATGTGCGAACCGGCTATCCAGGTTGTGTATACATGTTGTTTCGCTTGAAGTTTCAGTTTGGTCTGACTACTGGTTGGTGGTTTCAGCAATGTTCATTGCCCTCCAACCTAAATTGTCATCCCAGTTGTTGATATCTGATATCGCTACTTGGCACGCCAATTAGCTAAGTGGTATATAATTCATGTACAACCAGGGTAGACCCATATGACTGGCTTTTAAGATGGTTGTTACTCAATTGAGATGCGCATCCAAGTACTGTAGATATCAACCAGATTCCATGAGAAACATGTTGCGGAGTCATAGCTCAAGCCCATATGTATACATATGTGTACATGTACATATCGGCCTATACATATACATATGATATATATATACGTATAATATGTGATTGTGTGATTGTGCAGAGTCATTGCCTATAGTATGTGAGTACAGTATACATGAGTGGATTATCACCATGTTTACGCATCCAAGTGGAAGGTTATCAGGTTATCGCCATCCCAGAGTTAGTTCCCACCTGAAGGTGCCCATCACAGCTCGATGACACGTCGATGATTTGCGCAGCGTCGAGAGATATCTTTACAATTTTACAATCTCTTAAAATATTGTGATACCTCTACAATGGCCTGTATCATCCTGTATCCCCTTTTTGATTTGCAGCACGAGCATCGATATCTCTACATCTCTCTACAAATACCAATATCAATAGATCTCTCTACAGAAATATCAATATTAATATCTCTATGTCTCTAATAGCAAGAGGATCGATAGATATCTATCGATATCGATCAATTTATCAGCCCAAATTGTTGCAATGTTGGCGCCATCAGGAGGTTGCCACCCTTAGATTGACGAAACATACTACAGTAGTCCCAAACGAGCAGTGCCAACAACTCGGAAAATCGTTGGAAAAAATGTGCATTCTGAAGATTCCCATTGATTATGATAATGATAACCCGAATTTACTGTTTTTTTTTCTTACGGTACCCGAAACGACCATTGTCAACGAATCATGCTGGGTTACATCACCATGTTTGATGTTGAAACCCCGTTTGATTTTTAATTCCCCCACATTCATAGCTAATCAACAAAGATATCCCCATCAAAAAAAAAAGTGTGACCCATCTACCAGCATAAACCAGCTGGTGTTCGTTGAAACTTCTTTCTTGTATTGAAGACTTCTGAGACCATGGAGTGGAGGGTGCTTTACATGTTTCGCTCCACCTGTTGAAGCAGCTTGGACGCGTAGCCAACCTTGAAATTCCCTCCCCTGAAAGCAGGAAAAGACACTTCAACAGGATTAAATTTGGGGTTGTCCGAAAATTAGATATCCCTAAGTAATCCAATCACAACTTCAAAAAATAGAGTATCCCTACATCCATGGGCTAATCACAACTTTCTCCATTAAAATGACCATCAAACGGGGGTACTTCCCCACTAATCACCATTTACAGATGAAATATCATCCCATGTGCTAAATTAGATATATTCCCCATTCTCCATCATTAACCCACCCTTAACCAATATTCGCCTACCATTCATCAAGCTTGAACCCATCTTCCCAAATCTCACCTGTTGATGCGCCGGAGATGGAAGACGCATCATCCGGAATCTGGCTGACTGGGGCTGTCAGATGTCTATCGAAGGGTACCCGGGTACCCTTAACACGGCCGGCCATATAAAGGTGGCACCCTCTGGCCCTCTGGTAATTTAACATAGCTATGGAAAATGGCCCAGTTATAGTTCATTTACCTATCAAAAATTGTGATTTCCAATACGTACAGTAGTGATGTCAGTTTGTCAAGGGGTATTAATTGTATGAAGGCCTCAAGAATGGCAGATGTTCAGCACATCGAATACCTTATTAGAAGCTTATGTGTTATTCATCCTCAAGAATCGAGAAAGGGGATGTCATCTTCACTACCCTCATGTGTGCCACCGACTGCGGGTTTTCTACAAGGGAAGTATGCCCGAAGACTCAAATGATTCCTGCTGGCATGGACACCCTAAATTTCTAAATACCGGATGATAAAAAGTATCAGGCATTGCTAGTACCACTGCCGCATCCGTTCAACTACTTGATGGTTCCAATTTTTTATTCTGAAGCAAAATTCTGAACCTGCAAGCCCGAGAGAAGCACATGTCGTTCAGCGTCATCGCCATGGAAGCTTCAACCGCCAGCATGTTACGGGCAACATATATCTCATGTGGATGTGCGCGTGTGTGAAAAAATGTATACTGTACGCCACGCAAAAATATCAATTTAAATGGATGATGATTAAGCTTAGATGGACTTGAAGACACCTCCAAATGATGGATCAAAAGCCTGCCCAAACGGTACCGCCGCCTCCACGGCTTTTTGGGCCGAAATACATGGGACCTCCGGGCAACGTCGAAGCGTCGGTTCTGGACCCGATGTCCCAATGTTGTGTTCATGCAATGTATGTTGAACATGTTCATACAGATGAAATGATAATTTCATGTTTCAACTTGCTGTTGCTCATCCAATTTCTTCGTCATTGGGTAAAGTCAATGGGGAAATCGATGGTGATAAGGAGCAAAACTTCCGAGAAAACACGTCATCCCCATCAGCTGTCCTTGGTCCTATTTTCCTAGCAACTTTGATACCTAAAGTTGTGGGTTCTGGGAGGCAGGAAATTGCAAGACCTCATCCACGTCAATTTCAACCTTCATCCATTGCGGTTTCTTGGCGATCATTGGGTCGCTTGAAATCACTCGTGTCACATGTACAATATGGAACGGTGTCCCTTCAGTAGAACTGGAGTCAATTTTGGAATATATATATATATATATATCTCCGCATGTCCCTCAATCTTCGAAACGACCCTTGACAGCACAGTGATTGACAAGATCATCCATATATATATATATACAGTATTCATATAAAGTCAATATGAAATTTTCACAGTTTTGAGTCATGAATCCACTGTCTTGTTGTTTGACATTCCTTTGACAAGTCTTGACAAAAACCGCCAGGTCAAACTGAAGGCCGGTGTCAGCTCCATGGGAGGATCTCCCAGCCACGATCCCCGAAGCTTTCCGAGGCGACGACTCTGCGCCAATAGCACCACCGACCATGCCGCTTCACCCAGTACTTGACCTCGGCCTCGCACATGTCAATGGATAGTCCAAAGGATAATCCGAAAAAAATGTGGCAGCAAATGGATAGTCTGTCACTGTTCATTGCTTTTTGATCGCCTCATGTCTATCTTCCGATTCTCCGCGTTTCGTGTAACGAGGCACTGAGGACATCTCCACCATCCCCGAAACGATGATTTCTTTGCGCACCGGTGAAGCTGACACAGCTGCCATGGGGCATCTGGAAACCCCATAAAATCCTGTGACGAATCGTCAGCGTCCCAGTGAAATTCCCATTTTTGAGGAAGGTGCATCATTTTCAGACACAGCCAAATAGCGATTCTGCCTATCATTTCTTCCTGGATCGTCCTCTATGAGTCCATGACCAGACTTCATCTCACCAGTGCCCAAAATACCTTTATTGCTAGCTTTTTGCAGGGGTTATACTACCGAGCGTTGTAGGGATTACCTTCCATCCCGTATGGAAGTCGCTATCAACTAGCGAGTATCTTCGGATGATACCAATGAAAAGAGCAGTGCACATCTGCATCCAAAAATCCCCATGGATTGACTTCATCCAATGTCTTCCAGCTGTCCTAATCCATACGTCTCATGCTTGTTCCATTTCTGGCATTTCTGGATGTCAATGAGTGTGGCCATAGGCCTGCAACGAGATTTCTGGAGGAAACACTGCTGGATTGGGATCAATCTCAAAACTGGAGAACTATGAAGAACTGACTGGAAGTTTCCGATCCAACCCGAAGCGCTGGTTAACTTGGACAGAATGAAGCCAACCCTGACCACGAATCTGAATTTGAAACTCCAAGCTGCAGAAGTTTCACACTTTGGTCCACTTGAAGTGGTTGCGTCTTGAAACTGTGAAACTTGGTGAAAAAGTTCTGGCCCGTCGTCTTGGAGTTCCAGTGAGACAAAAATATAACAGAATATGGACAACCGAAATTGCGTTGAGCCGCATTTACCAGTAAACCATCCTCGATAGCACCATAAATAGATTGGATTGAATACATCCCCAAATGGTAGCTTCAATAATGGGTTTACCACATTGAACACTAGGATAGATTATCCGGCTATTGTCACTGGAACATACTGGAACTCTCTCCGAAGATTCGGACCATGGAAGATGATCTGATCACACCAAGTCCTTGTGCTTTGAAATGTCGTAAAATCAGCGACTTCTTCCAGGGATTAGTCACATTTCGGTCATCGAGAAAGAAATGGGAAGGGGGTGGTCTGGCCATTTTGGTCTCTTGGCGATCTTGATGAACGATTCTTCGGCCCACTTGGAGGATCAGTCTGAAAAAACGACATGGCTAAAATGCAATCACCACACTTCCGTGACCTACCAACGAGGATTGTTACAGTAAGCTGCTACGAAGTGGAACGATCCATCAAGATGGAACGGGAAAATTGTCACTTTGGTGGCATCCAGGTTTGGGAATACCCCAAAAATGATCCACTGATTTTCCATAATTCTCCCAAATCAAATGGCAAGTTTACAGCATGAAAATAAACGGAATTTACCTGCTCCAATTCCCCAATCACATGGATCAACAGTTTTCGTGCTGTCGCTTCCGCTGCCTCCAACCCCGTGAGTTGTGTTTCTCAGACTGGGAAGCAGAACCGGTTGAGGCACAAATCGCAACGTTTACTTAACATCTACATACAATGATAGATATTGTAGGGTATTAATATATATATATATAAATACTTCCTCCTAGCGGTGGGTTTTTCGAATGCTGCAGCAAAACCAAGTTTGTCCAGCCGCCGCAAAGTCTCATTATATATGTTCCAGGGGGGCAACTCTCAACCCGGAAGGCTTGAAGAATGCCTGTGGACAAGGGGGAACAACTACCCTTGGCAAGTAGATACTAATCTGGGGATATCTTGGGAACATGGTCGGGACATCCTAGACACTATACAAGAAGCATGATCAAATCATCAAATCATGATGACAGCAAAATCATATGTTGATTGTCATCAAACCAAACCTGGCTATGGTTATGAGATCCAGCCACCGCATGAGCATGATGCGAGTCCACCTCTGTAACAAAAGCACCACCCTATTGTCAAACAACATGGACTCCCAAGCGTGTTGCCATGCAACAAGTTGATCAAACATGATCAATTTGATTAAAGGGGCAATCATCTATATCATCCATATGGGAAAGGCATTAAATCACGACAGAATCATCTATATATATATATATGGCGGTTTCCTGAAATAGGGGTACCCCTAAATTATCCATTTTAAAAGGATGTCCCCTTATGAATCATCCAGCTATTGGGGTATCCCCATTTCTGGAAACCCCCATATCAATGTCGATGATTGAGCAGCACAAGGTGCCCTCCAAGTCATCCCCACCTGAGTCGAAGGTCGGCGCGACAGCGCCGGGTAGCCATGATGAAGCTTAACACCTGCACAAGCACTTCGAATGGGCCCAGAACGGTTGGGTTGAAGTGGTTTGTACCAGAAATTCTACCTGAATATAGCTTTTATCACTTGCATAATTATGCATCTGCAACAGTTCGCATGATATACAACAGTAACTGCACATTCCATGTGCAACGCCACGAAAGAAACACTAGACAAGCCAACACAGCGCCAAGCTTGTTCTCGCAGCGAACTCAGGTTGCCAATCAGGAGACTTTCCAGCAGGTACTACACACTGTGCACTGTACACTATACACTCGTTCATTCCTGCACCGTCATCCGCGGCACTTCTTCACCGCTGCTGTGGGTCAAAACGAGACCCCAGCCACATGCCACAGTGTCCGTTCCAAGCAAATCCAAACAATTCATGGCAGCAACACACAATGAGGTACCCCCTTGTATCGTCCAAGTTATTGGACCATAACATAGTGACTTAGTGAAACCATTGGTGACTTGGCGAACCCCCATGACTTTGGAAACCTCCAACTGTTCTTGTTCAGACGGCCTGCCCAGTTCGCGTGACAAAGTTCCTGCAAACAAAACGAATTAGAACATGCCAGAGCGATGGCACCCTCTGGCAAAACGAACCTGGCATTGGCAAATCACGATTTTCCATTGCTTATCCTGAAATCTGGGAGTCATGACCATCATGAGCAAAGCACGGCATAAGTTGAGAATCTCCATTGCCAAGTGTGTTTTCCAGGGGTATATCACAGCTCAAACAGTAGTTGCTCCGGACAAGAAATGCCCATCAAAGCATAGTAGCAGCTAGGTAACTGGCAAACTTTGTGGGCATGGTTCCGTGCCTTTGGGTCAAGCCGTTTTTAATCAGCTTCTATCCCACCATGTACAAAAGGCTTGATCCATAGGCCCAGACTTTCTGCCTTGCAGCTGGCAGCAACTGATGGATGCTGAGCAAAGTGACGCATCGCTGCTACAAAATTGTCGGGAACAAGCCGGCCCCGCAATTTTATTCGCATGCGCCGGTCGAAACACTGCAGCCTTCGCCAAACAAAATGGGCAGGTTTTCCTAAACAGAAGGACCTTTGATAGGCAAACAATTGCAACTCAGAAAAAGAAATATCTGGCATACCCTGCCTACTCAGCGGACGAAGTCTTTGCAAGAAGTGGATTTGGCCGTGCATCAATCAATCACCGGTAAGACCAACATGGCATTGGCAAACCCTGGGCACAATCAGTCTGTCATATTGTTTGATTGGAAATCCCAGAGTCTACGCCACTTAGGGGTTCTCCATGCCCAAGTTTGCTTACCAGGGTGTAGACGCCCAACCCCTCCTGCACTAAACGCTGCTTGGATTTCCAGGGTTCACGGCTGTGTGTGGGCACGTGCAACGAGGGCGGGGCAATCGCAGATCCAAGCAAGGGGTCGCCTCTGGAGGACATGTGGCTGGGCAAAGGCAGGGAGGCTCGGGAATTTCCACATTATAACAAGGACCGTCAAAATTCCATGCAGTACTCGGAGGACAAGTGATAGTGGTGGTGGTTGTCGTGGTGGTGGTTGTCGTGGTGGTGATCACATAGTTGGGCCATGTGACTGGGCAGCAAGTCATCTCGACTTCTAGCGGAATTTCCTGCGCCTGATCCTTTTCTTTAGCATAGTGCTCCGACATAAACTCCAGCTGCACACGAGAAGCGAACCAGCCTGCTGGACAGCCCATCCAAGGACCCTCGCTGGTTCTTGGCCAAACATACTTGTTGTCTTCGCCATAGGAATATTTTTCATGGCTTCTTTTGGTGCGGCAAAGTGATGTGTCTTGGGGAGCGCAATCTGCAGGTTTGCGGCACTTCGCGTCGATGTGGGTGTAGACGTACCTATCATTAGATGGCGCAAAGGTTCCTTCGAACTGCAGCTGCGTCAAAAAAGATCTCCCAGGACAGGTATGGTCGTACATGTCAACCTGGTCAACAAACTCCAAGGGCTCAAACAATTGATACTCCAAGGGCTCAAACGATTTGCCGGGTGGGGATAACCTTGTCATCATCCCACATTGGCATATCCATCCTGGGCACGTAAATTGCCTGCAGCAAACCATTTCTCCTTCCACACCACTCGTGTTCGCTGGCCTGGTGGTCAAGGCATTCGTAGTCTATGTCAATCTCCACTGGAATGTCATACCTTTTTGATGCGTTTTGGGCGTTTGTATACTCCCAGTAAGCCTTGTGCTCCTCACGATCACTGAGGGACATGAGGGCAGGCAAGCGTTCCCAGACAGATCTGTAGAAGTCTGATGCATTTTCAGCTGCATCGGAATAATAGCTCCCCCCTTGGACCTCGCCCATGCATTGAAGGTACCCATCTTCAATCACATCAATCAGCTCCTTAGATGTTGGAATTGTTGGAATTGCCGCCCTTGTGGCCCCTTTGAGTACAACATGCACGAAAGAAAACATCAAACACATCAAACATCAAAAGGTTGGCATCTCGGAACGAGTATCTGGAACCTCTCCAACGATCCGAGCATCCACTTTCAAGCCCGATTCCGGTTCCAGCTTCAGCAGCTTTACAGCAATCCCTCGTTCGGCATGGAGCACGTCATCCACCAGTATGAAGACGCAATTCTTGTGCCAGTCTCTGCACTCTTGGGAAAAGTGCCTTCCCTTGGAGCACACCGAGAAACCAGACAACTGGTACCGAATGAGCCGCAAGTCATGTTGAATCATCAAGAGCCACATGAGGTTCAGCTGATCCTCAAATCTTGAAGCAGCATCCTGAGTGGAGGTAAGGAGGGAAGCTACGAACTTGAGCTCATCGAGCACCATGACTGCCTCTGTCTGGAACTCCCGGAACTGCGCCTGGTTCACCTTCTCCGTAACGATTTCACGGACCTCTGCCATGATCTTTTTGTAGAGTTTGTCTAACGGATCTTCTTTCTTTTGGCCTGGAAGAATGCCACCAATGATTGAAAAGGTCATAGTGAAAAGAGCCCCCGCAACGGGGCTGCCCACAAAGCTCAAAGCGGTGCCAATGATGCCAATGAACATACTGAGCATTTCACCCTCATCAATACTTTCACCGTTTATCGCTTTCGTGATACAACCTGTTGTGGCTGAGGAGAGTCCATTGATCAGGCTGGCTCTGGATGCACTTGTCAATTTCTTCTGGTTGTTGCTAATCGCCGTGTTCGCATCCTTCAGTTGGTTCTCCTCGTCTTGCACTACGTCCAAAAGAACGTTCGCGATATTGTTCAATTCCACCCTTAGATGGTCCAAGTCGGGAAGCAGTCTGAAACAACAGCTTCATTTGCGGTTGTATCCCTCAGAAACTAAACTTTCAAAGTGTTGCTCAGAAAGGTATGGATGTTGCAAACATGATCAAACGATAATACATTTTCGGAACCACGTCCCCCAGATCCGTGAAAACGGTTCAAACCGCGGAAAAGAGTGTTTTCTTTTTGACAGCTGAGCTGCTCCCCAATATCTCCTGCCGACTGCAACAAACTCAGGTGGTCTGTGTGGTTGCTGGGTCCTGCTGCCCGCAGTTGAGTCAACAGTTTGCGCTGCATTGGTTTCAGCTCAATTCCTCGGAGTGCCAGCCACTAAGAAACTGTTCCTGGGAGTCAATTTTCTGGGGCAGTTGCATGGCGTAACTTGGCACATCGACTTTGGGATATCCGACCACTTCCGTAATTTACCATTTCAGCCCATACCCAAAATCTCATGCTTCAGAGAACAGCAGTGGAAGAACTAAACCTGGACTGACCTCAAAAAATGAAAATCAAACACTGTGGCAGCTCAGGCAGCCACTTCTTCAAAGCCCATTACTACACAACATAGAACCTGATAGCCTCAACATAATAACATATTTATGAATCAGCACTGATATATCTATAAAACCCATTAACTATATGAGTTTGTATATGATTCTCCCCATTCACCAAGCTGGTGAGGCACCTGCATCTGCAGCTTCTTTCTCAATCAGCATGGGATCACGAGCGATGCGTTCACGGAGCCGCAAAGCCGCGACGGAGGTCAGGGCTTGGTTCGTGTCAAAGTTCGACACTTGCAGCAACACCTGCCACAAGGGAGGTGGGGGCCCGTGGCACCCCCCAAAGGATAGCCCAGTTGATGCACATAGCTCCAAGAACGGGGGGTAAGTGTAACATATAGTATAGTCTATAGTTAATAAATAATTATTAATGGGATTTACAAACCTAACTTATAAGACTATTGGTGGCACTACATGAATGTGAAGTTCTGAGAGGAATGAATGAACAGGTCTGTTGATGCGGGACTACATTCCTGAATTTCCAGATATTGCCCACCATGCGGGTTCCAGCCCTGTGCAAAACCTAACAGAGTTTGAAAATCAGCCAAGATAGCCCGTGATCATCATGGCAAAGCAATTCTCCACTAAGTCCTTTAAGACATCCTCAAATGACACGACCAACGCATTTCCCAGGATTCTTTCAACCCCAGCCTGATCTTTGACCTTCTTGGCACAAGCAGCACCGAGCAAAGCCACCAGAACACCGAGTATGCACCGCGATTTCACCATGACTCCTGCGGTTTCAGCTTGGATTCGTCCCTGCAAGCAGCAACAAATGGCTGCGATGTCGCGCAAGCACCGGCGCGATTAGTGGACCCTCAACGTGCGAACCTCCGATTTTACTCGCAGAATCTGCAGTTTTGAACAAAAAGAAACTCTTGGTGCCAATCAGAACACTTGAGAACAGCTGTCCAATTCTGGAGGCTCACGCCTGGAACATCCCTGCACGCCGTGGTGAACATCCTCGGGCAAAGATTGTCCAAGGCGAAAACACTGTTTATCAAGGGGAATTCAAGGGGACAAGAGGAAAGAAACTGGTTATTTTTATATATGCAGTAACTACACTAAGCAACAAAATTGTACAGCATCAAAATGGTTGTCCGTGATCAAAGGTGCCATGGTTATTCAAATTCCTATTTTCTTCCATGAAGAACTGGGAACCTGGGTTTCCTAATGTTCTGTTTACAGGGGGAATATGGGTAAAAATGTTTAGGTCCAGGTATTGCCAGCAGCGAGAGGTTGGGAGATGAGTATTGTGGCGTGCTTTGGGATCAGAAGTGGCGATCCACACTTTGGGGTGTTTGAAGTATATCCTCGTCCCCGGTTGGGGCTACAAAACGCAGACCCCAAAGCCCCTTGCAAGTTCTCATTTCTCATATGTATGTATGTATGTATGTATGTATGTATGTATGTATGTATGTATGTATGTATGTATGTATGTATGTATGTATGTATGTATGTATGTATGAATGTATGTATGTATGTATGTACGTACGTACGTACGTACGTACGTACGCATGCATGCTGCATGCATGCATGCATGCATGTATGTATGTATGTATGTATGTATGTATGTATGTATGTATGTATCATATGTATATTGTATATTGTATGTATATATATATAATATATTATAATATGTATCATATATATATATAACATCATATATTATATAAAAATAAGATAAATATATATAAATACAGATAATTATATACATATACACATGAAAGGCAATGATTGGTTATTTGTGCTATGCCGCTATGCTCAATCCTGAGCTTCACCCTGTGAGATCATCCGATTCATAGATCTACCCGGCCTGGTAAACATACAAAAAACGAACTGGAAAATCACCATGCTATCAATGGGTAAATCCACGAAGTAAATGGGGTATTTTCTACAGCTATGCCAGTTTACCAGAGGGTATCTACGTACTCTTGTCTATCCTACCTGCATATGCTGCGCAATAAGATTTCTGTTCTCTTGTAATCCATCGATTTATCTGGTGTTTACCCCTCAATACCTTGAGGAAAAATTGAAAAAGCAATGTAAAAACGTGTCTCGCTGTGATCGGGTATCCAGGATATCTCCCAGCCCCTGAACTGGGCCCCCATGCGCAGTTGACATCGGAGTAGCAGTAATCCTTTCATTATGCTCGGCAAAAGAGTGGAGAGTGAACGAATAGAACCAAGACACCCCAGGAATTCAGCGATGATCGTTTCAATGGAAACAACACCAAAACCCTGGAAGTTGCGAAGCTGCTTCTTGTCCACAACGACAACGTATTTCTTTGGCGGTGATCCCTCCTCTCCAATATCATCCAATATCCTCTTAATGTCAACCCTGGATTCATAAACCCCAAACGGCTGGTTAATTGGAGGGGTACCATAAAAAAGTATTGGATGAAATGACTCTGACTATTGGAGGAGTACTCCCCCTAATTGTCCTAAACATGGTTTATTAATCCGGTATTGACATTGTACTTGTGATAATTTCACCACATTATTTTTGGGCCAACCCCGACTCGGTCTGGGAAAATCCCCATCGCCTGCAGATCGACGAACTTGGGTTGATCCTGAGACGACCATGAAAAAACCTTGGGGGTTCCCACGAATCGCAAGTGGCCAGTAATTGCAGTTATGACTCAGTTATGACTCATAACCCTGAATCTATATGTTTAAAATATGTTTAAAATATGTTTTAAATATGTTTTAAATGGTCTTTATGTTTGGGATAAGCCTTGGGCTACGACTCACAAGATGATCCTAAGCCTGTAAGGTCGGATATGATTCGCAAACATCAACGATGGATGAAACTCTTCATGTCGCTTTTTTGGGGGCAGTAACTTCGGGGATCGGATAAGAACAGAATTTCTGCAGGAACACTTGATACGCACAGGACTTGGAATCCCGCCGTCAACCCTTAGGGATAAGGATGTTTCAATCTACTTAACAGCTGTGGATATTTTCCACCACGGAGACGTTCCAAAACCCTGGGAGTTTAGATGAATATCCGAGTCTGGATGTTGAATCGAAGCCTCAACTTTTTGGTGAAGTCCAATCTGCATCCCATCGCTTCTCAAGAACTGAGTCTGGACTAATGCTCTCACCAAATAATTCAAAATGAACAATTCCGGCCCATGTAAACTCACATAGATATGAAAATCCCTGGCTTTCAGTGGATGTTCCCTATCTTTTCCATATGTTTCTCCATGGAAGATAGCCATACCCCACCGCATCCAGCCACCTTCATGCCAGGATTGAATCCGTAGACTGAAGGCTCCTTCCTGACCGTCTCCTCCGCCTGGATGGAAAAAATAAGGCCGTTGGAAAACATACTGTGGGGATATGTGGAATCCAAACATCAATAGGCCATGAAACATCCATGAAATCACCATATCCTTGGGAATCCTTGTGATCCATATAGTGATTTCATGGTTCTTTTTGATGTATGTTTAGGTGAATTTATTAGAAATGCAATTGGGATATATGACCAACAATCTGATGTTTGGGTGTGTCTGAAAATGTGGAAAATCACCAAAATCATATGTTAGGCGCGAACATGTATGATTAACCACTGGATTTTAGGGCGCCCGGTGTAGTTTCAGACAAACCCATATGACACATGAGACATGTCAACGCCCTTTTATTATCTGGGAAAACGATAGATTTCCACCTTCGTGTATAGGGGTTTCGCTTCCAGGGATGGGTAACACTGAAGAAGCTTGAAACTGTAGCGAGACATGTTGACTGTTTTGACGGATCGTGGCCCCCCCCCCAGCTATTTCAAAGGGGCTACCAGCTTTGACAAACTAAAATACGGACCATTACGGACCTGAGCTAACAAAACATTGCGGTTTAACTTACGTATAGATACGCACAGAATCTGAATGCAGCTAACAAGCATGACATGATAAGTGGCATAGCGTCGCCGATGGTGTTTGCGTGTCCTTATAGGAATGGCGGATCTCGCTGGAAACCAACTTGTCTTTACCAATCTGCGTTGTTGTGAACAACACTCCTATATGTTGTGACACCAGAAAGTGTCCAAATATCCAGGTAAGGTTCCAAATGGGTCTCGAATCAAGTACCCCCAAGGCCCTATGTTCTTCACCATTTTCCCTATTAAAAGTGTCCGCTTTTCATATCCCTCCATTTTGAGAAACAAGCTTGCTGGATGCAACATCTTAATTAAGTATTGTTTCAGTCTAGCACCCCAAAATCACCCGGCAAAAACAAAACTGAAACATCTTGCCGCAGGATTAAAATCATCCAGTTTCATCATCAAGAGTCACCAACCCTTTCTTCCGTTGGAGGCCATGCTAGATCGTCACGTTGAATGAAGAAAGGGAGTTGAAGACGGTGAAAAAGGCACATCTGTCCACCAAATTGATGCTCATTTTATGTATTGAAAAGTCACTCAAAATCGGGTATGTTTTGAACAAGAGCCATGATGCAAGCTGCACGCACGTAGTTGGCTGTGTGGATACATCCGAATTTTCCAGAATTTCTCCATCCACTTACGAACCAACAACCACGAAATTGGGAGTCCCCTATGACCAGGGTCATCCCCCAAGATGCCATGGTGGTTGCCTTCATGTTGAGGCCCAGAAACGACAGTGAATGACGCCCACATCTTGCCTCAGCTTTGCCCAACGCATTGGCCTCGCGGGTGGCACAAAGTCGCTATGGCTCCCGCCATAAGGCCCAAATAAATTCGCTATGCCTCCGAAATATCCAGCTGACAAACAGTATGTTTAAATGTAAGTGGGCCATACAGGATGGGCCCCCCAGTTATAAGTTGGTTTATAAACCATGAAATAATCCGCATTAACTATAGTTATATCATGTTATATCTACCATTTAACTATAGTTATATCATGTTATATCTACCATAAACCATTGAATTCAGCCACTTATAAACCAACTTAGTTATCTTGGGGGCCCCATCCTGTACCCAAACATGGTGGCTTGAATGGGGAAACTGATGTTCTGAACCATCAAATTCCAGGGGGAACCCCTCGATATCTACAGCGTTGTTGGGTTGACATCCTCTCTACAGATACGCAGCGTTTTCCCCGATTATGGTGATCTGACTCTGTGGAAATCCCGTTAACTTCGTGGATGTGCATCCCAAGCACCACAAGGGTTCACAAGTCTGGCAGCATGGGTCTTACTTGGTGGTATATCTTACTTATTCCACGTAAGAAAAAACCCAAGTTGACAGTGAGCCAAGCCCGCTTCCCTCATCTATATCCAGGCTTATAAGTGTATAAGCTTCTCACATACTTCCTAAGTAGGAACCAAATACCTATGGGATCAGAAGCTGTTGACGCAGCAACCCCCAGCGAACCCCCAGCGAACCAATCGGGCCTCTCCGTGCTTCACAGCCGTTTTGGCCGCATTCACCTCGATCCAGCATTGGGTGGCTTGGCTCAAAAAATCCACCAAAAAACCTGCCAAAAACTGTAAGATTCTCGTTTCAAGATTATTTTTGGGGGGCCTGCAACCCAGATGTTGCGCTGTTAGAAACAACTCACAGACCATGGTGATTTCAACTGATGTGGATGTGTGACATCGGCAGACCCCAGCGTTTCCAAAGGAACAGCGGGGATTCAGGAACCCTGGCTTCACCAGTCTATTCAATTCTCACATAGTCGAGCGGCAGCGGCAGGCAAGAAAACCCGCACACGGCAATCATGAAAGGAGAAAAGACTAGAGACTAATTTGAGAGGAAACCATTTTTGAAAAACAGCAGCCGATTCATGCTAAAGTCATATGGGGAAATAAAAAGCTTGCGATTCTGGCCACATACATACATACTTGCCATACTGGGCGAGATCTAACCCCCTAGGGCACAGATTGCCACGTGTTCCCGAAAGAAACGCGCCGGTCTTTGGAAAGGCTGTGAAATCACACTCCTGTCGTTGAAGTCCCCACAGTAGTCGAATCCCCAAGGGTTTTGGTCAAGATCCTGGGATAGGATCCCCCTTTCATCTGCTATGCGGTTCAATCATGTCTAACTCCAGTTAAGCCATTTAAAGATGTTATAAAGCTATATGTTTGACCTTTTTTTAAAGCAAAACAACCACGTTGTAAGAATGATCTTGGGGGATGGAATTCTATCTTGGATGGGATTCTATCTTTGTCGCTCTACAAATACGTTCCTTCAACACCAAGGATGGGAAGCATCCACCGCACATTGAGGTGGCGGCACAGGGTCGGCCTCGGGCGCGAACGAAAGGGTGGCACAGCAGGCTGCGTTGTGGGTATAGTAGGGTGGGAAACGAACCAAAAACACCAACTTTGGTATGGTTTATATCACACCCAAACTGGAAATTTGGGGCAAATTGGGGATAAACATTGATAGTGGTTGGAATCCAGCCGTTGGATAAACTATATACTATATAATACTCTATAATATGATATGATTCTATAAGCCCAAAGCCATGAAGTCAGCATACTAGTTGATAATGACACGCAAAAAAAAAGGAGAGAAATTGACTACATATGGTTGACCAGGGGCTTCGCCACTGCCACATTCATATGTTTTCATGTACTATCAGCCAACCAACAACGCGTTGGCGAATTTTGAACCATGTGAGCCGTAATCAAAAGATGGTACAAGGAATTTGGTCGTCCATCCCATGCCATGCGAATCCTCACAATGGGTATGTAAATCTCTTTGAACGCATTGATGACCATCTTCTAGTATGGGGATACAATCCAACTTGTCACGAGAGGTTTGCTTATCCCATTTTACCCACTGGTAAAATTAAAATAACATAACTATGGAAAATCACCATGTTTAATGGGAAGATCCGCTATAAATGGCCATTTTCAATAGCTATGTTAAATTACCAGAGGGTATCCGAAGCAATAATAGTGATATCCCGAGTAAAACCCTACTTCCAATGGTTAAATCCGGCATTTGACCATGGCACATGAGAGACCCACAACATGCATGATGTGACCTCCGTCACCTTGGAAGATCGTCATAGCAACCTCTTAATTTGTTGCTGCGAAGTATTTTATTCCCTAAGGGTTACACAAGATGTATATATGTATAACTGTATAACTGTGTATGTATATATATATATATGTTATATGTTTATCAGCTTGAACCAGTCACACTCAAAAAGGTCTGCAAATGGGGTATACCGCCAAAAATGGCAATGTTTAATGAGGAAAATTCTGATAAACCACTGGATAATCTACCTTCAGACAAGACCCATTTAGTTTTTTGCGAATTCAAAATGTGCGTCGGAATGTTTCTACTGACACCGCAGATTTTCTGACCAGATCCTGACTGTTCAGTTGCGGTCATCCGACTTTACGGTACCCTGGCTTTCAGACCCCCGAAGCGGCACCCCAAAAACTTGATTCCCCAGTTTTTAATGGCTACTGGATATCGTATCCTATGAACATTCTCTACCATGCTAATTGTGATTCCTATGCGCCCATTAAGGCTCACCTCCTTGCACAGTTCACCCTCACTTCTGAGTGACATTTGATTTTCTACTTATCTACATTCCACCTAGGAGTGTTCAAGCATCACTTGCGCTGCCAACATTTGTTTGTTTCGTTGATTCATGGCCAATGACGTAATCATGGCCAATCATAGATGCCCTGCTCTGAAAATAATTGTTTAGCTGAGATTTAGCTGGTAAATAAATATATACTCCAAACAATTGCCGTTCCCATTGATGATTGGTAGAAAATACTCCAAGATACTCCAAGAATCTTCCCCTGAAATGTCCACTTACAAAATATGTGGGTTTGTCTTTAGTAAGGTACCCCATTCCATCCACTGGCTGCCCCCTTTAACAAGCCATACATTGGGACTTTACCAAGCAGTTGTTCCAACAAATCCGATCCAAATCCATTGTTCAGTGGTTAAATATCCTTAAAAATCTCTAGATACTGGATAAATAAGGATACTTAACCATTGGGACTAAGTATTCAGTGGTTAAATCAGTTCAATCTCTATTTCTCCATGGTTAAGTATGCTTAAGTCATGTTGAATCCCCCAAAAAATGGCTGGTGAAATCCTCAGTGATCTCATGAGGATTCAATGACGATTCAATGATGATTTTGAATGGCAAATTGATGGGATTTGACGGGATTTAGGCAGCCAAGTTGCTGTAGCTCACTAGGTGAAATCTATGATCTATGGTAGATAATGTATATATTAATTATGTGTATATATATATATACAAATATATATATATAATTATATATAGAGATATACACTTACATACCCATGCTTGGATTATCATGGTGTCCCTTAAATCCATGGCACCGTTGCCAGTCATCACGGCTGAGGCGCTGGTGAGCAGCGTGGGCTTCTCGCTCGGCGAGGTCGGTGGCTTAACCACCTGTGGCCCCCTTGAAGCAAAGTTGGCTTCGAATTTGAAGCTAGTTTACCAGCCCAAATGGCAGGTTCGGATTTTTCATGATAACACATGGGACTTACCCTGATGGGTTGATGGGACGACTGACTGGCATTTTGTTTGGGATTTAGTTAGCGATAAGTTGGCTTAGTTGACGAGTTTAACTATCTTAACTCTTAGTTTTACGGTGACACCTGAACTCGATGGGTTGATGAACAAAAAAATGAGTCTGCCAAGGGACCACATGGACTTGTTTTCAAGGCATGTTTACTAAATTTGCCAATGATTGAAAAGATGGAAAATGATGGAAAATTATGGAAAATTTTGGAAAATTGATTTGGGAAAGATGATGGAAAAGTGTGATGCGTGGGATTTTAAGGGCATACACAAATTCTCAGACAAACCCAAATATCTGTCCAACTAGTTTCCAATATTTGCACGTAACCAGCCTCATATAGTTCTCTCATCGAAATGTAACCAAGAATGTGTATCCAACCTACAAATTGGGGAACAATAGAAAGAAGCTAGATGTGTATGTGTGTATATATATATATAGACAACTGCAACACAAGAGGGAAAATTTAGAAGCAGCCCACATTCTATCTATTTGGCCCACTTGTTTTGGAAAAGATGAAACCTGTTTTTGAACAAAATGAAAATTGAAATGGGTATTGCAGCTATTGCATGACCGCGCAGCGAATAGGTGCAATTTCAATGAAATGTTTGATGCCTCTCAACATCACACGTGGGTTGGCGCCCCAGCTCCATCGTTCAACAGAAATCACCTGGATGAGGAACCTGGTAAAGGAGAAAAATTCCAAGCCACTCTGCAGCTGAAACCAAGACTTATCGGAGTGGTCTTGTACCGTCCCAAACATGTGATTTTGCTACAAGTAAGCCTCGTGTCCAGTAGTGGCAAAGTTACTGAGTTCTGCCTTTACTGCAAGCATTTCAGCGAGTTAACAAACTCTGCGGTTGATCATTCATACCACCTCCAATCAGATTGTGCTGATGACTGATGACCCAAAGAGATCCAAAGAGCATGAAGATTCAAGTATTTCACCAACAATATCGATAATTACCTGGCAGAATTGTGTTCGACCCAAATCACTTAAGCCTTAAGCAGTGGTCAACAAACCTCTGTGGGAATCCCTCGCACTGGTTGACGGATGAGATGCGAGTGATGCGCCGTGAACTTCATCAAAGACGTCCAAAAAATCCGACCCAAACTTTTGGATAGCTGTATCTGAAAATGAGGGGGAAACCCCCTTGATCCACGTGTGAATCATCATTTTCCGATTAAAACTGCCATTTGGGTGGCATACCCCCTTTTCAGACAAGCAAATATTGACTTCCGCTTTCTGAGTCGCTGGCCTTCCTGTAGCCGAGCCATCTGCGGCCACGTCTGACCCAAAACACCTTGCTGCACAAACATTGACTTGGTCCTGGTAATAAGCTGGTAAACAGTAAACCCAATATATAATGGAAATAATGTTGTGAAAGTGCTGGAGGCCCTGATACACAATGAAGTAGTCGCACCACCGCATTGCATCCCATCCAGCACCGAACTGAGTTACCTCAGTTGTCTGTGCCATTCGGCACAGCATGGCTTTCGCCATGTCGAGCCAGCCACAGCTGACTGACCACATTGGCCATATGGTTGAGAATTCTCCAAGATTCATCTTCCTGCACATTGCGCTCCGGCCAGCCAAAACGGGCTTGAAGATAATTTGTTGGTTTGGTGATTTCTCCAAGATGTGAAGGACAATCCCAAAAAAGGTGAGTCAGTGTTGCGAAGGCTTCGCTGCACCAAGGGCATTCACTTGAGTCTCCGCGACTGCGAGACAGCCAGGCCGGCGAGACCACACTTCCTAACAGCACCGCACGGTGGGGAGCGGAAGCAGTTTCAAGGACATGACGTGCCCAGTTGAGATCAATACGGAGCATCTGGCGCTCAATGTTTTCGATGGATTCCGTCTCTCTCCAGAGACGGGCTTCATGACGTTGGCCTTGAAGCCAATCTTGCAAGCACTGCAATCGCCACTGCTGGCGAAGAAGATGGAATTCAGGGTCATGAAAGGTTTTGTTTTCTGCTGCATCCAGAGTGAGAGAAACGCGGCTAGTGTTTGTCCAGCACCATTCTCGGACTTCAGTCCAGTTGTCGTCAGCCAGGTAATTGCGCAGCAAGTTGGTGCTGGTCCAGGCACGATGGGTCCAAGTGACTGACTTCTGCTTCTTCAGGCGTCCGAGGCGTCGGAAGAGCCTTTGCTTGATGACACACAAGGGATGAGTGGTTCCACCATAGACTACTTTGCGGATGTCACTGTTGGCCATGACATTGGTGTGCAAAGCGCGAGTCAAGGCTTTGTGAAGGTGGTCGGCATCATCGGCTGGCATCTTGCGGCACCCCCAGCCGTAAACAACGGCAGGAAGAACCAAAGCTTTATAAACTGCCAACTTGTTGGGCCAAGGTAATGGCAGGCATGCCAGCAGCTTGGTGCGTCGCTTGGCTTTGTCGATACGTTTGATTTCCGTCTCTGAGTTTCTCCGGCGTTCAAGGGTCAAGGTGATGCCCAGTATTGTGGTCTCTGCTTGGCCAGTCCACTCAGGCCGGAGGTCTGCGAGTTGATTTTGTTTCTGTTTGGTACGGGCAACGGCCTGTATTTTGTTGGTATTTTCGAGTAAGTTGGTCATAGTACTCCATCGCAACCATGCATCAGCTCGGTCGAGCAATCGAGGAATATTGCTGTCGCAAAAGCTGCGATCGTCCATATAAATAGTGGTGTGCGATTTGTTCAAATCACTTCTGGTGTGTCCTTGTCGCAAGAGATCTTTTTCAACATGGCTATGTCCGCTCAGCATCCAGCAGCTGAGAACGAGCGGAGCAAAAGGGCAACCTTGCGGCGTGCAGTTGCTAACTAGCACTTCATCGTGAAAGGAGGACCCATACTGGACAAGTCGACGAGTGTTCCAGACCTGCTGCAGCAGACTAGTGAAGGATTCTGGCACGCCAATGCGATGCAGAAATTGGGACGTGATGGTGGCCCCCATGCGATCAAAGGCTTGCTTATAATCGAGACTGACGACCCCTGCATCTGAGAGAATCATTCTGTCTTGCAACAGGCTAAAAGCTTCCTCAGTACCGAGGTGACCGTGGATTCCATTGAGGCATGTTGGGAGAGTGTCTGCAAAGCGCATGGCACTGATGCTATGCGTCCACGCACTGGACCAGCATCGCCAGAATATACTCAAGATTGTGATTGGTCTCAAATCGCTGGCAGCGATTTCATGGTTTTTGATCTTTCCTGGCTTTTGGAGACTGGTCATTTTGCCATATTGTAACAGGGACGGAATTTGTTTGGCAGTCCCCCATCTACTGGCAAGCTTGTAAAAGTCCGATATGGCATCATCTGGCAAATATCGAATTTCATCTGAGCTCCAACTATCAACTCCTGCGCTGCCTTGGCAAGAGCGAACGGCACTGTGGAGCTGCCAGTAGTTCGGTGGTTCCCAAGTCTGTCGGCAAGCTTGGGGAAAATGCTCCGCTAGCATTTGTGCAACATCTTCCTCTGAAAGGGGATTTTGCGCTTGAGTTTCAGCTTGGTCTTGCCACAGCTTTTTCCAAAAACGGTGAACAAACTGCGCTGCTTCGGCATCAGTTTTGGCTGTCTGTCCATCAAGAGAAACATTGGCTTGGGCAGCTTTTTGCTCTTTCCTTTGGATCCATTTGCTGATGGTAGTAATGTTGCCAGTCTGGTATCTTGCTTTCCACTGTCGCAATCTCAATTGTGTATTATCATGCTCTTGGCGGAGCCGATCAGCATTGGTGTCTTGGATATCCCTTTTGATTTTGTGCAAGATATTGGCAAGACTGAGGTCTCTGGGAGTGACTTCGGCTTTCCACAATTTCCTGAATAGATTTCGGGTGTTCTCAGGGCATTCGTTGAGGAGATGCCTTTGATTATTCACATCTTTGTAGATCAATCTCTGCAATTCATACAGTCTGGCTAAGCGGCGCGCATGCTTCAGTACGGATTGGCTGCTTAGCTGGTGACCGGAGTTATGAATGGTTTGATTGACTTTTTGAAATTTGGGGGCTGCAGTGCCTTTGCCATTTTTGCGTCCGGACTGATTAAGTTTGTGTTTAATTTCTTTTTCATTTTCTGGAGCGGCAATAAGGCTGGCACTGATTTTTGTGGCAGTTTGATAAACTTTGCTGAGCAAATTCATATACTGTTTCCATTCTAGGTCCACTTTGATCTCAAGTGGGCTCAATTTTTGGAGGTACGTCGCTTCTTCATCCCGTTTGTGAAGGCACCAAGCTTCGCACAACTTTTTGCTCCATTCACTGTCTGAAAGGAAGCTCGGCTTGGTCCAGCGCGGCTGAGGAGCCAGGCGATAATGTTGAGCGGGAGCAGTTTTGGGCTGAGCAGGAACACTGATGGCGATATGATCACTGATATGATAATCTGTCAGCAGTTCAGGATTTCCGAACAGACTGGGTGAATTGGACATGCACCAGTCTATCTCTGATTGGCCTTCCCACCTGGTGGGACTTCCGGTGCCCAATACCACTCCACCATGGGTGGCTCCACTAGCTTTGAAATGGCTGTCTTGAGGATTTTCGTTGTGATCTCCGGCTGCAAACCATGGAACATGTTCGAGTTTGTGAGCAACAAGAGTTTCAAGGAAAGCTTGCGCATGGCTTTGTTGTCGGTTGGGAGCAGCGTACGAATTAATGCAAACAATTCCTTCTATGCAACATGTCAGCAAATTGCCTGCGGTGTCTGACAATCTGTGCTGTCGGAGTTTAGCTGGGATCAGTGTGGTGACCCCTCCTACCTTTCGGCCGGCTTGGTAGCCACTGCTGTTATGATATACCTTGAGCTGACTTTTCTTGGCGCTTAATTGGAAGCTTGCAAATTCGGCTTCTGTGAAAGGCGTGTCTTGCAACATCAGGACACAGTTCTGCCATGTTTCAAGTGCTCGCCATGCACCTGGAACACCTGCAACGTTGATAGTGACAATATTGAAATGCACCGCCTGCCTGGGTTGGATGTTGGGTCCCGGGTGCGGTTCAATTCCTTCTTCGATCAATCTGCCAAATTTGGCATCAGAGAGTTCTTTCTCTTTGTTCTGCAGCTTATTTTTGATTGCAGGTCCTGCATTTTTGGTGAAAAACTCGGTGGCTGTGGCAACTGTGGTTTGCCATTTTTCTGCAAGCAGTTCTTTTGTTTTTTCGGTTAAGTCAAAGAAACTTTTTGGCCATCTGTAGGGTTTACATTCACATCTGAAGGTACTATAGGGCCCAAATCTCCAACACTGGGTGCAGGTGTAGACAGCATTACCGGCCCAGCCCTCGGGGTTCCGAGCGCCTGGTTCGGGCTGAAAGGAAACGAGCTGGTGACCGCAGCGCTTCAAATCGCGGTTATCTGCGTGTCTTTTGGTCCAACTGATGGATCGTTTGGCATTTCCTTCTATCATTTGCGGTTGAGAACCCGGCAGTTCTCGCATATTCTTGGCTCTTTGCTTGAGAATGGCGCTGACGGATGTGTCTTCATTGGGATGGTCGGTTTTCCAATGAAGTTGGATGGATTTGTGCCTTTGCTTTTGGCCTGTGCAAGCTGGGAGACCTTTAAAGCACCATGGACATTCCCATTCTCGGCTTTCTTTGGGGATCTCATGGCTAGCGACAATGGGCTGCAATTTGAATCTGCAAAATTTGTCTGCATCTGTTTTGACATGATGGGGGTGTCGACACTTGAGATGATTATTCCGCTTATAGTTCATGGTTCTGCGATCAGTGGCAACAATTTTGATCTGACAAAGACGACACGTCCAACAAAGCTCTTCTGATTGAGGTGGAGGCTCTGGATCGGACCATTGATTGACCTTTTGTTTTCCGTAAAGTCGCCGACGCTTGGTCTGTGGCGGAGAATCAGGCATGCTGATGACACTTTCGGCTTGATTGATGCTGTCCGGTTTATCTTTCACCAAACTACGTGACAGCTGCAATGGTGATCCAATGGTTCTTGAGCAGGTGTCAGGTCTCTGATCGACAAGTTGTGCCGTGGGTGGATTTCTTTCCAAGGTGACATTTTCGCTGTCTTCTGGCTTTGTGGAGGTGGATCGATATGTATGCACACTGTGACAGCTGGCTGCTTCAGAGTCAGCTGTTGTCTTGGCTTTTGGCGTCACTGGAGGTCTGAAATGACTACTGGACGCTTGTTCAGATTCAACATAGGTGTGTATACTGGAAGGAGTTCCAGGTGAATTGAGCTGTGCACGGCCGCTGCTGTTAGGACTGACTGGCTGTTGACGAATGGCTTTAGATTGGCTGTGTTTTCCGGCACCTGTGAGATCGATAATGATGGTAGCCAGATCAGCTGCTGTCTTCATGAGCCACGGTTTAGGCATACGCTGATTCTTGGGAGCATGCAAAGCTTTATAGTGGCATCCTTCGAGCACCAGTGACAATGGTTTCTCTTTTTGCCGAAGTCCCGCAATGCCATCGGTGCTGAATTTTGGTGCGAATGTATAACGATACCAGGCGGAGGTGTCAGGATTCTTCTTCCATATTGATAGTGCAACACCATATTTTTCGGCTAGGCAGTGAATTGCAAGTCCGTCTGCCCATGTAACTTGAAGTTCCTGTTGGTCCAGCCATTCATCAATATTTTCAGCTCTTTTTTTGTTACTTTTCTTGTTGGCTGCGTCTTGCACATCGGGTGCAAACCATTCTTTGAGTCTTTCTTTGTGCTTTCGAGCATGAGCTACTGTGGCCAGCCGAAGTTCTGCCGCTTCGACTCTTGCCTCATCGCTTGTCAGCGTTCTGTCATTTTTGGCAACTGCTCGAGCTCCAGCGCAGGCGCGATAGAAACAATCGCCGTTGCCCCCTAAGTCTTGCAAAGTCCATTGTTGAGCCAAGGCTTCATCCGGGTTCAATGGGATGCTGGAAGGAGAGCAATAATAAGATTGCTTATGAGGCATGCTTGAAGTGGCGACAGGTGTTCGCATGTCTTGATCTGCATCTTCTTGTGACTGCGTGTCCAATTGAGTAACTTTGACTGGACTTCTGCTGCGATCGCGCTTTGACCCTGCTTTTGATTCAGGTTCCGAGAGGCCCTCATTTGCTTTGACTGGCTTGGCAATTGGATTGCTGCCTTGCCATGTATTTCTCACAGGTCTCATGTAATCAGCGAGTTTCGGAGCGGTTGGAGCAACAATCAAAGAAATGGTTTCTGAATCACTGATCTTGTAGTGGTAGGCATCTTTGTCCGCCATTGGAGCAATAGCTTTCAATCTCCATTCAGGCTTGTATTTAACTTTGTGGAAATCTGCCACTTCTGTCCAGCTGAGGCTTTCGAGAAGCTGTTGGATTTCTTCCATGTGCCATGAGCGCGGCACGCCACGGGCAATGTATTGTTGGGATTTCTTTTTAGCAGCTTCTTCGGTAGTTTGGGAGAGTCCCAATGTGTGAATGGTGCTGCTTTTTCTGTGATACAAACCTTCTTGACGCTCTTTTGCGATTTTGAGACATCTGTTGAGGTAAGCGTCTGCTGCTTCACTTGGCTGGCGAGTAAGCCATGTGATTGCTCTTCTTGTCGGAATTTTATCCTGGATGTTGGCGAAAATTCCTCGAGTTCCACTTTTTGCCACCAGCAATTTGGCCATGCTGGTGGGTAAATTTAAGAATCCAGTGAGCAATTGCTTTTTGTTGTATGTGTTTTCAGCCCAATTTCCTCCGATCAGAGCTGATGCTTTCACGTCAGGGCTCCACTGCGCAACTTCAGCAACAATCAGGCGTGGCTTGTCTTTGCCATCAATGAAGTGCTGCCGGAATTCTTCAGGAGCTGCAATTCTCACTGTGACTCTGTCGATTTTTGGCAGCGTCTGCGGTTGGACCGTGATGGTTGGTTTGATCCAGATAGCTTGGTTGACATCCCCAAGTGCAAAAAGTGCAACTTCCTCGACCTTGAAGATAGCGTTGTTTCTGAGAACCCTGATCCTAGCTGGGGTTGCTCCGAGCATACTCTTGGCGGGGCCTGTCAGGAGCAGTGTGTAGCCTCCTTGGGATCCGAAGGCTTTCCAGCTGGAAACAAGTTGTTTAGCTTCAGCAATGGAATTGACTGGAGCTATATTGGTGGTGTCATCTGATTCACCAGCTCTGATTTTTCGCATCAGTTCTTGGGATTCGAGAATCTTTGGAACTTGTGTCCATTCACTGGCAATCAGGCCTTTGATCGCTGGTGAGCTTGCATTGTGTTTCTTTTGGAATTGATCTGATTTGTTCCATCGGGTCTTTTGTTTCCCAGCTTGGAGAATGTGAGTGACATGGTGCTGCTTACTGCTATTACAGTGGGCGTAATAGGATTGCTGACCGGTGTCATCATAATGATGTTCATGATCATTCGAATCATCATATCCGGCATTTTTACCAAGGTATGGTTGCAGGATGTGGCTGATTTTGCTGACAATCTCTTGGTCGGAAGTGCTTTGAGCGTTTGTGGTGAGAACTGACAAGAGCTGTTCTCTCAGGTTGGATTGTTTCGTCTGAGACTTCTTGAACCTTTTGTTGGTCTGTGCATTTGCAATGGTATTGGGTTGCCATTGCTGCAAAACGTTGGCTAAGGCTTGCGCAAGACCATAGTCGTCATTGGCAGCAGTAGTCGCTTTACCACCACCCCAACGTTTGCGTTTTGTGACATGCGTACCATAGGCTCCTCCGGCCAGCAAGGCGCGTAAGTGAGGCAGGCTTTGCTTTTGCATGGTTTTTGTGTGCATCACCTGTGGTGTGGTGCTGCTGGCTTGTTGCAACTGGGAACTTTGCTGGTCTTCAAGCATGTTCAAGCATTTCCAAAGCAAAGGAAAAACATGTTCATGTGTTGTTTGTGTGCAATTCTCTCGTGGTGAGGAGTGCTGACATCTTGGCATCCAATATGGTGATTGGAGGGCACTGATGTATACTGCTTTTTGTGCTTTTCTAGAGCGTTTGCTATTTTTGGGGTGACCTAGCAACCAAAAGCGCATGCGTCTGCGTCGAATTTGGCTGGTTTTGCGTCGATGTGAAAGTTTGGCTGCTTTCACGCGTTTCGTACTGCATTTACGTGCGGCGAATGCCACAACGCTTGGTGATACATGGCTGGTGAAAACCGAATTCAATTTTTCTTTTTGTTTTGTGCATCTGCAATTTTTAGATTTTTTTTGGAGATTGTTTTTCAGCATCCGCTTTTTGGATGAATTTATGGTACTGGTGCTTACCCAATCCCACCAACAAGCAAAGATTGTGATGGCAAACAGCAATGCAAAATTTCGGAACGGATCATCTGCACTGATCAGAGATGTCATCGACTGCCAACATGTGAATGCTTTCTCAGAAATTGAAGCACTAAAGTGGTTCAGTTCTGTTGCATCGCAAGGTCGAATCAAACACATTGCAAAACAAGCCAAGAAAGGCCTTTGGCAACGTGGCAAATATGCAGTCAGCTTCGCACTCGGTCGAGCCCGCAATCGCCGAGATGTCCACAAAAGGGCACACCAGGAGGCGCTGACTATGAAATTGCCCAATATATAATGGAAAATAATGTTGTGATAGTGCTGGAGGCCCTGATACACAATGAGGTGGAAGCACCACCGCATTGCATCCCATCCAGCACCGAACTGAGTTACCTCAGTTGTCTGTTCCTGTCGGCACAGCATGGCTTTCGCCATGTCGAGCCAGCCACAGCTGACTGACCACATTGGCCATATGATTGAGAATTTTCCAAGATTCATCTTCCTGCACATTGCGCTCCGGCCAGCCAAAACGGGCTTGAAGATAATTTGTTGGTTTGGTGATTTCTCCATGATGTGAAGGACAATCCCAAAAAAGGTGAGGCAGTGTTGCAAAGGATTCGCTGCACCAAGGACATTCACTTGAGTCTCCGCGACTGCGAGACAGCCAGGCCGGCGAGACCACACTTCCTAACAACACCGCACGGTGGGGAGCGGAAGCTGTTTCTAGGACATGACGTGCCCAGTTGAGATCAATACGGAGCATCTGGCGCTCAATGTTTTCGGTGGATTCCGTCTCTCTCCAGAGACGGGCTTCATGACGTTGGCCTTGAAGCCAATCTTGCAAGCACTGCAATCGCCACTGCTGGCGAAGGAGATGGCATTCAGGGTCATGAAAGGTTTTGTTTCTGCTGCATCCAGAGTGAGAGAAACGCGGCTGGTGTTTGTCCAGCACCATTCTCGGACTTCAGTCCAGTTGTCGTCAGCCAGGTAATTGCGCAGCAAGTTGGTGCTGGTCCAGGCACGATTGGTCCAAGTGACTGACTTCTGCTTCTTCAGGCGTCCGAGGCGCCGGAAAAGCCTTTGTTTGATGACACACAAGGGATGAGTGGTTCCACCATAGACAACTTTGCGGATGTCACTATTGGCCATGACATTGGTGTGCAAAGCGCGAGTCAAGGCTTTGTGAAGGTGGTCGGCATCATCGGCTGGCATCTTGCGACAAACCCAGCCGTAAACAACGGCAGGAAGAACCAAAGCTTTATAAACTGCCAACTTGTTGGGCCAAGGTAATGGCAGGCATGCCAGCAGTTTGGTGCGTCGCTTGGCTTTGTCAATACGTTTGATTTCTGTCTCTGAGTTTCTCCGGCGTTCAAGGGTGAAGGTGATGCCCAGTATTGTGGTTTCAGCTTGGCCAGTCCACTCGGGCCGGAGGTCTGCGAGTTGATTTTGTTTCTGTTTGGTACGGGCAACGGCCTGTATTTTGTTGGTATTTTCGAGTAAGTTGGTCATAGTACTCCATCGCAACCATGCGTCAGCTCGGTCGAGCAATCGAGGGATATTGCTGTCACAAAAGCTACGATCGTCCATATAAATGGTGGTGTGCGATTTGTTCAAATCACTTTTGGTGTGTCCTTGTCGCAAGAGATCTTTTTCAACATGACTATGTCCGCTCAGCATCCAGCAGCTGAGTACGAGTGGAGCAAAAGGGCAACCTTGCGGCGTGCAGTTGCTAACTAGCACTTCATCGTGAAAGGAGGACCCATACTGGACTAGTCGACGAGTGTTCCAGACCTGCTGCAGCAGACTAGTGAAGGATTCTGGCACGCCAATGCGGTGCAGAAATTGGGACGTGATGGTGGCCCCCATGCGGTCGAAGGCTTGCTTATAATCGAGACTGACGACCCCTGCATCTGTAAGAATCATTCTGTCTTGCAACAGGCTAAAAGCTTCCTCAGTTCCGTGATGTCCATGGATTCCATTGAGGCATGTTGGGAGAGTATCTGCAAAACGCATGGCACTGATGCTATGTGTCCACGCACTGGACCAGCATCGCCAGAATATACTCAAGATTGTGATTGGTCTCAAATCGCTGGCTGCGATTTCATGGTTTTTGATCTTTCCTGGCTTTTGGAGACTGGTCATTTTGCCATATTGTAAAAGGGACGGAATTTGTTTGGCAGTCCCCCATCTACAGGCAAGCTTGTAAAAGTCCGAAATGGCATCATCAGGCAAAAATCGAATTTCTTCTGAGCTCCAACTATCAACTCCTGCACTGCCTTGGCAAGAGCGAACAGCACTGTGGAGCTGCCAGTAGTTCGGAGGTTCCCAAGTCTGCCGGCAAGCTTGGGGAAAATGCTCAGCTAGCATTTGTGCAACATCTTCCTCTGAAAGCGGATTTTGCATTTGAGTTTCAGCTTGGTCTTGCCACAGCTTTTTCCAGAAGCGGTGAACAAACTGCGCTGCTTCGGCATCAGTTTTGGCTGTTTGTCCATCAAGAGTCACATTGGCTTGGGCAGCTTTTTGCTCTTTCCTTTGGGTCCATTTGCTGATGGTGGTTATATTGCCAGTCTGGTATCTTGTTTTCCACTGGCGCAATCTCAATTGTGTATTATCGTGCTCTTGGCGGAGCCGATCTGCATTGGTGTCTTGGATATCCCTTTTAATTCGGTGCAGGATAGTGGCAAGACTGAGGTCTCTGGGAGTGGCTTCGACTTTCCATAATTTCTTGAATAAATTTCGGGTATTCTCAGGGCATTCGTTGAGGAGATGCCTTTGATTATTCACATCTTTGTGGATCAATCTTTGCAATTCTTACAATCTGGCTAAGCGGCGCGCATGTTTCAGCACAGATTGGCTGCTTAGCTGGTGACCGGAGTTATGAATGGTCTGATTGACTTTTTGAAATTTGGGGGCAGCAGTGCCTTTGCCGTTTTTGCGTCCAGTCTGGTTAAGTTTGTGCTTAAGCTCTTTTTCATTTTCTGGTGTGGCAATAAGGCTGGCACTAATTTTGGTAGCAGTTTGATAAACTTTGCTGAGCAAATTCATGAACTGTTTCCATTCAAGGTCGACTTTGATTTCATGTGGGCTCAATTTTTGGAGGTATGTCGCTTCTTCATCCTGTTTGTGATGGCACCATGCTTCACATATTTTTTTGCTCCATTCACTGTCTGACAGGAAGCTCGGCTTGGTCCAGCGCGGCTGAGGAGCCAAGCGATAATGTTGAGCGGGAGCAGTTTTGGGCTGAGCAGGAACACTGATAGCTATATCATCACTTATATGATAATCTGTGAGCAGTACGGGATTTCCAAACACTGGGAGAATTGGTCATGCACCAGTCTATCTCCGATTGGCCTTCCCATCTGGTGGGCCTTCCGGTGCTCAAGACCTCTCCTCCGTGGGTGGCACCGCTTGCTTGGAAATGGCTGTCTTGAGGATTTTCATTGTGATCTCCGGCTGCAAACCATGGAACATGTTCGCTTTTGTGGGCAACAAGGGTTTCAAGGAAAGCTTGCGCATGGCTTTGTTGTCGGTTGGGAGCTGCGTACGAATTGATGCAGACAATTCCTTCGATGCAGCATGTCAGCAAATTGCCTGCGGTGTCTGGCAGTCTGTGCTGTCGGAGTTTAGATGGGATCAGTGTGGTAACCCCGCCAACTTTTCGGCCGGACTGGTAGCCACTGCTGTTATGGTATACCTTGAGCTGGCTTTTCTTGGCGCTTAATTGGAAGCTTGCAAATTCGGCTTCAGTGAAAGGCGTATCTTGCAACATCAGGACACAGTTCTGCCATGTTTCAAGAGCACGCCATGCACCTGGAACACCTGCAACATTGATAGTGACAATATTGAAATGCACCGCCTGCCTGGGTTGGATGTTGGGTCCCGGGTGCGGTTCAATTCCTTCTTCGATCAATCTGTCGAATTTGGCATCAGAAAGTTCTTTGTCTTTGTTCTGCAGCTTATTTTTGATTGCAGGTCCAGCATTTTTGGTGAAAAACTCAGTGGCTGTTGCGACTGTGGTCTGCCATTTTTCTGCAAGGAGTTCTTTTGTGTTTGCGGGTAAGTCAAAGAAGCTTTTTGGCCACCTGTAGGGTTTACATTCACATCTGAAAGTACTATAGGGTCCAAACCTCCAACACTGGGTACAGATGTAGACTGCATTGCCGGCCCAGCCCTCGGGAGTCCAAGTGCCTGGTTCTGGCTGAAAGGAAACGAGCTGGTGACCGCAGCGCTTCAAATCGCGGTTATCTGCGTGTCTTTTGGTCCAACTGATGGATCGTTTGGCATTTCCTTCTATCATTTGCGGTTGAGAACCCGGCAATTCTCGCATATTCTTGGCTCTTTGCTTGAGAATGGCACTGACGGATGTGTCTTCATTGGGATGGTCGGTTTTCCAATGAAGTTGGATGGATTTGTGCCTTTGCTTTTGGCCTGTGCAAGCTGGGAGACCTTTAAAGCACCATGGACATTCCCATTCTCGGCTTTCTTTGGGGATCTCATGGCTAGCGACAATGGGCTGCAATGTCTGCATCTGTTTTGACATGGTGGGGGTGTCGACACTTGAGATGATTATTCCGCTTATAGTTCATGGATCTGCGATCGGTGGCAACAATTTTGAGGTGACAAAGACGACACGTCCAACAAAGCTCTTCTGATTGAGGGGGAGGCTCTGGATCGGACCATTGATTGACCTTTTGTTTTCCGTAAAGTCGCCTACGCTTGGTCGGTGGCGGAGAATCAGGCATGCTGATGACACTTTCGGCTTGATTGATACTGTCCGGTTTCTCTTTCACCAAACTACGTGACAGCTGCAATGGTGATCCAATGGTTCTTGAGCAGGTGTCAGGTCTCTGATCGACAAGTTGCGCCGTGAGCGGATTTCTTTCCAGGTTGACATTTTCGCTGTCTTCTGGCTTTGTGGATGTGGATCGATATGTATGCACACTGTGACAGCTGGCTGCTTCGGAGTCGGCTGTTGTCTTGGCTTTTGGCGTCACTGGAGGTCTGAAATGACTACTGGACGCTTGTTCGGATTCAACAAAGGTGTGTATACTGGAAGGAGTTCCAGGCGAATTGAGAGGTACACGGCTGATGCTGTTAGGACTGATTGGCTGTTGACGAATGACCTTGGATTGGTTGTGTTTTCCGGCACCTGTGAGATCGATGATGATGGTAGCCAGGTCCGCTGCTGTCTTCATGAGCCACGGTTTAGGCATTCGCTGATTCTTGGGAGCATGCAAAGCTTTGTAGTGGCATCCTTCGAGCACAAGTGACAAGGGTTTCTCTTTTTGGCGAAGTCCCGCAATGCCATCGGTGCTGAATTTTGGTGCGAAGGTATAACGATCCCAGGCGGATGTCTCAGGATTCTTCTTCCATATTGAGAGAGCAAGACCATATTTTTCGGCTAGGCAGTGAATTGCAAGACCGTCTGCCAATGTTGCTTGAAGTTCCTGTTGGTCCAGCCATTCATCAATATTTTCAGGTCTTTTTTTGTTGCTTTTCTTGTTGGCAGCATCTTGCACGTCGGGTGCAAACCATTCTTTGAGTCTTTCTTTGTGCTTTCGAGCATGAGCTACTGTGGCCAGCCGAAGTTCAGCCGCTTCGACTCTTGCCTCATCACTTGTCAGTGTTCTGTCATTTTTGGCAACTGCTCGGGCTCCAGCGCAGGCGCGGTAGAAACAATCGCCGTTGCCCCCTAAGTCTTGCAAAGTCCATTGTTGAGCCAAGGCTTCATCAGGGTTCAATGGGATGCTGGAAGGAGAGCAATAATAAGTTTGCGAGGCAAGCTTGAGGTGGCGACAGGTGTTCGCATGTCTTGATCTGTATCTTCTTGTGACTGTGTGTCCAATTGAGTTGCTTTGACTGGACTTCTGCTGCGATCGCGCTTCGTCCCTGCTTTTGAATCAGGTTCCAGGAGACCCTCATTTGCTTTGGCTGGCTTGGCAATTGGATTGCTGCCTTGCCATGTATTTCTCACGGGTCTCATATAATCAGCGAGTTTCGGAGCAGTTGGTGCAACAATCAAAGAAATGGTGTCTGAATCACTGATCTTGTAATGGTAGGCATCTTTGTCAGCCATTGGAGCAATAGCTTTCAATCTCCATTCAGGCTTGTATTTAACTTTGTGGAAATCTGCCACTTCAGTCCAGCTGAGGCTTTCGAGGAGCTGTTGGATTTCTTCCATGTGCCATGAGCGCGGCACTCCACGGACGATGTATTGTTGGGATTTCTTTTTAGCAGCTTCTTCGGTAGTTTGGAAGAGTCCCAATGTGTGAATGGTGCTGCTTTTTCTGTAATACAAACCTTCTTGACGCTCTTTTGCAATTTTGAGACATCTGTTGAGGTAAGCATCTGTTGTTTCACTTGGCTGACGAGTGAGCCATGTGATTGCTCTTCCTGTCGGAATTTTATCCTGGATATTGGCGAAAATTCCTCGAGTTCCGCTTTTTGCCACCAGCAATTTGGCCATGCTGGTGGGTAAATTTAAGAATCCAGTGAGCAATTGCTTTTTGTTGTATGTGTTTTCAGCCCAGTTTCCTCCGATCAGAGCTGATGCTTTCACGTCAGGACTCCACTGTGCGACTTCAGCAACGATCAGGCGTGGCTTGTCTTTTCCGTCAATGAAGTGCTGACGGAATTCTTCAGGCGCTGCAATTCTCACTGTGACTCTGTCAATTTTTGGCAGCGTTTGCGGTTGGACCGCGATGGTGGGTTTGATCCAGTTAGCTTGATTGGCATCTCCAAGTGCGAATAGTGCAACTTCCTCGACCTTGAAGATGGCGTTGTTTCTGAGTACCCTGATCCTAGCTGGGGTAGCTCCGGACATACTCTTAGCAGGGCCTGTCAGGAGCAGTGTGTAGCCTCCTTGGGATCCGAAAGCTTTCCAGCTGGAAACGAGTTGTTTAGCTTCTGCAATGGAGTGAACTGGAGCTATATTGGTGGTGTCATCGGACTCACCAGCTCTGATCTTTCGCATCAGTTCTTGGGATTCGAGAATCTTTGGGACTTGTGTCCATTCACTGGCGATCAGGCCTTTGATCGCTGGTGAGCTTGCATTATGTTTCTTTTGGAATTGACCGGATTTGTTCCATCGGGTCTTTTGTTTCCCAGTTTGGGGATTGTGATTGACATGGTGCTGCTTACTGCTATTACTGTGGGCGTAATAGGATTGCTGACCGGTGTCATCATAATGATATTCATGATCTTTCAAATCATCATATTAAGCGTTTTTACCAAGGTAAGGCTGCAAAATGTGGCTGATTTTGCTGACAATCTCTTGATCGGTACTGCTTTGAGCGTTTGTGGTGAGAACTGACAAGAGCTGTTCTCTCAGGTTGGATTGGTTCGACTGAGACTTCTTGAACCTTTTGTTTGTCTGTGCATTTGCAATGGTATTGGGTTGCCATTGCTGCAAAACGTTGGCTAAGGCTTGCGCAAGTCCATAGTCGTCATTGGCGGCAGTAGTCGCTTTACCACCACCCCAACGTTTGCGTTTTGTGACATGCGTACCATACGCTCCTCCGGCCAGCAAGGCGCGTAAGTGAGGAAGGCTTTGCTTTTGCATGGTTTTTGTGTGCAGCATCTGTGGTGTGATGCTGCTAGCTTGTTGCAACTGGGAACTTTGCTGGTCTTCAAGCATGTTTATGCATTTCCATAGCAAAGGAAAAACATGTTCATATGTTGTTTGTGTGCAATTCTCCCGTGGTGAGGAGTGCTGACATCTTGGCATCCAATATGGTGATTGGAGGGCGCTGATGTATACTGCTTTTTGTGCTTTTCTGGAGCGTTTGCTAGTTTTGGGGTGACCTAGCAACCAAAAGTGCATGCGTCTGCGTCGGATTTGGCTGGTTATGCGTCGGTGTGAAAGTTTGGCTGCTTTCACGCGTTTCGTACTGCATTTGCGTGCGGCGAATGCCACAACGCTTGGTGATACATGGCTGGTGAAAGCCGAATTCAATTTTTTCTTTGTTTTTGTGCATCTGCAATTTTTAGATTTTTGGGAGTTGTTTTTCAGCATCCGGTGTTTGGATGAATTTATGGTACTGGTGCTTACCCAATCCCACCAACAAGCAAAGATTGTGATGGCAAACAGCAATGCGAAATTTCGGAACGGATCATCTGCACTGATCAGGGATGTCATCGACTGCCAACATGCGACTGCTTTCTCAGAAAATGAAGCACTAACAAGGTTCAGTTCTGTTGCATCGCAAGGTCGAATCAAACACATTGCAAAACAAGCCAGGAAAGGCCATTGGCAACGTGGCAGATATGTAGTCAGCTTCGCACTCGGTCGAGCCCGCAATCGCCGAGATGTCACCAGAAGGGTACACCAGGAGGCGCTGACCATGAAATTGCCCAATATATAATGGACCCCAACTGGTGATGGTTGATTCTTGGGTTTACCTCATTAGTTACAAAAGAATGATCAGCTACTAGCTATCAGCTCGGTTGGCACTCATTTCTTCATCTCCCATGATCAAAGACTTAAAAGGAACCTTCAATCTGCGCAACACCACTGCAGTTCAATGAGGCAACGCCATGCAACGCCCATCTCAGGTGTGCACTTGCGAAGCTGCCATGAACACGAGCAGTGAATCGGCTCAGCTGTGGCGTCGTTCTTGAGCCGTCAAGTTATACGGATGGTGCGGATGAAATCACTGATAGGCTCTGGATCCAAGGGCCCCGCAAGCGCCTTTGACTTGACATGACACAATCACATCTGTGGAGAGAGGTATGCCAGGTATGCTGTGAAGTTAGAGATACCCTCTGGTAATTTAACATAGCTATTGAAAATGGCCATTTTTAATGGGAAAATCCACTATAAATGGCCATTTCCAATAGCTACGTTAAATTACCAGAGGGTAGCTGGAGTCACTCCGGCACGTCTGGCAAAACATCAACCCAACAGAACCCCAGGGCTGAAGTCCAAGCACCATGTCATCGCACAGTTCTGATTTTGACGCCTGGATATCGACATTCCCACACAACTTGAATCTGGTGTGGTAAACCAAACAATCAACCATCCCACATCCCACATTATTGACATTTATTAACCATTTGGCGATCATAGCCAGCCTCATCTCATGTTATTCTCAAACATGTCTTTACGTATCAAACGAATATTACAATCAAATATGGTTTCGATGATTTCATGTGTACAAGCTTCATCTTGTGATAGCTCGATATTTCGGGCAGCCACCACAGAACCACGGACATTTTTAAATGTTGGTCATGTTGGGATACCCTCTGGTAATTTAATATAGCTATTGAAAATCACCATTTTTAATGGGAAAATCCACTATTTCTATGGTCATTTTCAATAGCTACGTTAAATTACCAGAGGGTATGTGTTTCGCATCGTTTACACCTTTCAGCCATCTCAATCCGAATCCAACTTGGGGGACCCAAATTTGATCCGACTGGCCACGACGCGTATCTTTTATCGATGCACCAGTCCAGGAGGCATCTGGCTGGCCTAGTCGAAATCACCAGCCAGCCTGCAAAAACGGGAGACGTAGCAGACTGGAGATGTTTTATCTCAAAATTAATGCCATCAGAGACTTGCAGACATGTCCAGTATTTCTTTAACACTTGCAATGAGTCAACTTGGAGACTGGAGAGTTTCGCACTTGGGAGATCTTGACAGGGACAACTTTAGGTGCTCACCATGTGGTGTTTTTGGCCCAACTGTCAAAGCTCTGGTTTTTGCGATGTTCATCCAGTGAGTTTCCCAAGTTTTCCTAATGAACCATGAAACAAGGCTTCTTAGGAGCTACTTGCCCATACAAGTAGCCATGATTCCTTGAACTTTTTTTGATGGCTCCACTGCTTTTGGTTAAGCTTGACTGCCAACACAAAGTGAAAGCCATATCATATAAGACACAAAAGTAGAAGAGCTATTCCCGGTGCCAAAGACATGGATGAACTCCAAAATTACCTGTTTCAACAAAATGTGCTGCGTTGATCGCAACAGAGACATGCCCCAAAATCACGGCTCTTGAATTTCAAGGAAACTTTCAAGATGGGAACCTGAGATGATAAATCCAGTGAAATCCCATGTCCATTAAAGTTGAAAGAACCTGAAATTTCATATTTTTGATAAAGTCATTAAGACACGCCACCTTCATTGAACTGCAACTATTTATTATTGTGATTGCCGGTGAAAAGCTGTTTTCAAAACAGTTGTGACATCGGCTGAGGCCTCCAGCCTCTGTTGTCCTTGATGTCCACCGGGGCACACGGGGCCCACGGGCACACTCCGGCGGTCGTGGCGTTCCTCGTGGCGAAAGGCGCGGCCGTGGACGTCCTGGCCAGCGACGTCCACGGCCGCGCCCTTCGCCAGGAGAAAGGCGACGACCGCCGCGTAGGCTGCTGCCTGGTCCAGGCAACGCCGGTCGCGGCACAGATGGCGCCGCACGGCCGATGTTGTCGTCGCGGCACAGGGAGAAATGAAGCAGAAATGAAGTTCCTCAGTGTCTGAAAGATCTTTATGTTTTATTTTCTTTAAGTCCAAGTCTGCTACTTATGGAAATTATATTGAACTTATATCTTAGAAACTGAACTTGTTGAACTTCTTAAGTTCAATAAGTTCATGTTATGGAACTTGAAGTGCAACTTGATATTTTTTCCAGATCTTCTACCTGAGGAAGTGCATCAAGTTTTGTCTATAGTCAGTATGGACTCAGGCCGAAACATTTCGCCGCGGATCTTCCGAATCTTCCTGGTGTCACAGCTCTACACATGGTTTACACACTTTGGATGTTGAAAAATGAAAAAAAACCTAGGGAACTTTAAAGGAAGTAGTGATACGTAATGACTGGTCACAGACTTAAGGCAAGTTAACACACACTTTAAGTCACACACACTTTGAAGATTTTGCCTGCTATTGCAGTGTATGACATTGATGACAAAGTCACACAGTGCTGTGTCCTCAGTAGACCTTGGATCAAATTTCAGTTTCGCAATCTTGGTTTTGATCATGTTGCTGCTGGTGTCCCAAATAGAAGTTGGGAGCACTTCAACCACCGCAGGCTCCTGCACTGAACCCAGATTAGCAGGCAGTATTCCTCAAGAACCAAGCCATGTCTCACAACGATTCAACTTGACTCCAAACATGACTATCATGCTATTTTTTTTCGGTGTCATAGATTGGGAAGTGGCACCGTTCCTGGCTAAACTACATGTTGTTCCATGGAGGCAATTATGAGGTAGCATGGTACCACATGCGTGCAACCTACTGACAAATACTGACAAGACCAGGAATTCAGTTGATGCTTTTACTGGTTGAGATGTGTTTTAAAAAAAGTAAAAAGGAAACAAACACAAGATACAGCTCAATCAGACATGGTTCCAGTGCCTTTTGGCCAGCTTCTGGTTCCTGAACCGCTTCGCTGGAGCAGGTGAAAAGGTGACTGCACACAGCTGTGGAAGTCACAACTCTCATGCCTCTCTCAAAATAAGGCACTCCAAAATATCATGTTTGTTTGATCAGCTTTTTCTCTTGGAAACGACAATTAATTAGCGTATCCCAGTCCCATGTGTTTGGAACAACCCACTTTGATCTTCCAAGGTCAGGACCGCAGTGATTTTTGCTGTTTGGCCCATGGATGAAGCAGGTTCCTGTCTGCAGCTGGATCTGAAGCCAGGAGGCACCGCTATACCAAGAACAGGAGACACAAATTTAATCTTTCACTCACCGGAATGCAAGCTGTTGAAACGTGAAATAAAGACCTCACGTTGATAAAATTGATGATCAGGAAACCCCTTAACCAAACCATGGACGGTGGACACCCTCCAGGCGCCTTGGTGGCCGCTTCTGGACGTGAATCAGCTTCGGATTGAGTGGTTTCCTTGGGTAAACGCAGATTTCCAAATTATTCTCATTTCGACCCACCTTTCGACAATGCCTTTCCGACCTTCAAATCTATGACAGACTGCCTTTGCATTCATACATTTACATATTCATTTAACATGGGCGGAACATGTATTACTAAGATATCTAAAATACTATGTGATGATGAAATAAATGCTTCTCTTGTTTGGTCGGTTTACCTGGCACAGTTTCCGGCCGAGAGTCTTCCACTATTTTGAGAGCTGCATCCTTCTTGATCTCCAATACATAGTCCCACCTCTGTTGGCTCATCCAAGAATGGCAATGTGGGTGTGAAATTGCCAATTTTCCCACACAAAATAAACCGTCAAATATATCATTGATAAAAAATGATAAAAATAGGTTTTAAACCATTGGATTTTGGCGGTGCCCATCTTGATTCCTTACTACCCACTGAAATATGTAAACAGAGCTTGGTATCTGATTTCTCGCAGTTGAGAAACCCCCAATCTACGCTTGCTGTGTCCATTCATTCCACTTTTTCTGCGGAGGATGGTTAACATGCATGGCGCAAAGCTGGTTTGATAAATGTCTGAGCTTTTACGCCAATCAGTTCTTGAAAAAAACGTCTGCGTTGCCTCGTATGTGTTGTGAACCGAGGAAACAAAAGCACGAGTACAAGTACTGTATTATCAGCATCATCTTTGGATAATATGGTGATCGCAACCACTGGATTTCATCTGGAAATCGGCTTCAACTGGCACAAGTCGTGTGTTGATGCAAATCAGCCTTCAACCATCTTCTGGCTTCAACCCATCTCCGGAACGTCACATAAAATCTTCATCCCAGGCAGGGATGAAAAGAAGATGAAAAAACAGGAATCGGTCTCGAAACCTGCCACTGCAGTTTTCAATGGCGCACAGCTTTGAAAAAAGAAAGCAAAGTCGGGCCTCAGCCTCGAAATTCTACCAGCGGTGTCGGCACAAGTTTCTCGAAGGTCCTGGGACCCAAAAAAAACAGGGTATGGTATGGGGAACAATCACATCAAACTAGAACAATGTTTAATTCTTTACTTCGTGTGCAGCTCCACTTGATAAGTAGGGTGTACATGCTATAAGTTGTATCATTATATTCCATGTAAATCCATTTATATCATTTTATATCCATATATAAATATGTGTAACACCATACTGGTTAACAACCCTCCAACTTCACCACCAGGTCATATCCCTCAACAAAGAGACAATGACCAACTTACCTTTTATATATATATATATATATAGCACCACCATGCAATCTTGATGCGATGGGAAGCCTAGGCCTGGCAAAATGGGGGGGCAAATGTTGCTACGAGTACGTGGGGGAACATCTGCAAACCAGTGGTTCGTTGCTGGGTTCCATGAGCATAGCTAAGTTGACATCCATAAGAACAGTAATCAGAATTCCATGCGAGACGAATGGCAAATTGACTGCTCTGACCACGGTCCAGGAGTCCAGTGGTTGCAACATGGCTGAAACGTACGAGAGTTTACTTTACTGGTACCAGGGTGAACAGTCCGGGTTCGATGCAAACAAAACCCAAACAAAAAAAAACATTTAAAAAAAAAAAACACATCACAGCTCTCAAAATCTATTGGATCCAAGGAATCCAAGGGGTCCGATTCAAACCTGCGATGTCGTCCGACACCACGGAGGCCACCACAATGAGCGTCTTGAGTGTGCCGAACCCATTCTGTTTGTGTGGCTTTG